GGCAAGTGGTGGGACGTACTCCTCCAAGCACCTTGTCCACATCATCGAGCCGGAATAACTGAAATTCATCCAATAATTCTGGACCAGACGGCGGCATTGGCGTCTCCCTTAAAACCTCTGTATCAATAGTGGAATCCAGCTCGTGACGAATCTGAGCGATTTTCTCCCTGAAATGCCTGGCAAAGTCGTCACAGCGGGCCTTTGAGGGTGGAACCAGGTCTTCTTTCGGACCTGGACAAACCAGGCCCTGCACCACTCGAAAAAGCTCAGCCGGACGGCATTGTGAGGAGGCAATGTAAGTGGAAAAAAATCTCTTTTTCGCTGCCCTCACCGCCACAGCATAGGCCCGATAGTGGGCTCTCAAGTGTGTTCGGTCAGATTCATCACGTGATTTCCTCCACCTACGCTCTAGCCGTCTCCCAACCTGCTTCATTGCCCTCAATTCAGGAGTATACCAAGGGGAAGAGCGGGCTCTGCCCGGTGGGAGAGGGCACTTAGGAGCGATCGTGTCTACAGCCCTGGTCATCTCCCTGTTCCACAGTTCGACCAGAGCCTCGACAGGAGCACCCGTCTTGTCAGCCGGAAACTCCCCCAGGGCCTTCAGGAATCCTTCTGGATCCATCCAGCTCCGGGGGCAGACCCACACAATCGGGTCCGCACCCTTACAGAGGGAGAGGTCGCTCTCAAGCAGAAATCTCACCAGGAAGTGATCTGACCATGACAGGGGAGTCTAACATAAATTCCTCACCCTCAGACCACCCTCTTCCTGCCCCGTCGAGAAAACCAGGTCCAGAGTGTGTCCACATTCATGGGTCGGGCCGATGACATGTTGAGACAGCCCCATGGCCGTCATAGAGGCCATGAAGTCCTGAGCCGCCCCGGTCAGATCAGTCTCGGCATGGAGATTGAAGTCCCCCAGGACCAACATCCTGGGGGTCCTCAACACCAGGTCCGAGACAGTCTCCGTCAGCTCAGGTAGGGAGACTGTTGGGCAGAAGGGTGCACGGTACACCAACAGAATCCCCAATCTGTCTCGGTCGCCCAACACCAAGTAGAGACACTCCAGCCCTGGCCTCGAAGGGACAGGAAGTCCCGTGAGAGAGATGGAGGCTCGGTAAACTAAAGCGACCCCCCTCCCCTCCCCTCTGGGCGCGAACAGTGCTGAACCAGATACCCAGGCGGGCATAGTTGGGAGAGAGCCACATCCCCCCCCTCTCCCGCCCAGGTCTCCATTATGCAAGCCAGGTCGGCCCCCTCATCCACAATCAAGTCATGGATGAGGGAAGATTTGTTATTGACCGACCTGGCATTAAGCAACAGCACCGTCAGGCCCGAGGGGCGGCTGACAAGACTCCCTGGTACCCTCTGGCTGGGAGCAAAACCAGAAGTAGGGACAGGTGTCAACCATCTGTCCCTCCTTCTTCTATGCGGACACGTTAAGCTCCCACCGCTGTTACGTCCATTACCCAAGACTACCCCAATGGCAGCGCCTGTGCGCTCCCCAGGAAGCGCAAGCGGCAACATGGCCAGGAACGACTCCATAAAATAACTTAAAATACCATAAAATTATAAAAACAGTTAAAAACTTACAATGACACGCAGCGCAGCAGGAAGGCTAAATATCACACAGCCAAACAAAGCCCCCTGGCCAGCCCAGCCCCCTGCTCGGCCCCCGCTCGGCCCCCCAAACGGCGGCGACCACCGCCCTTCGGCTGCCGGCCCCAGCTGCCGCCAGTGCTTTTCAGGGCGCAGGGCTTCCTCCGACGCTCGCCGTGCCCGGACATGCCTCTCACGCGTGCAGGGCGTGGCGGCCAGTCAGGTGGTGGAGTCGGGGTGCGGGCGTTCGCTGCCGCTGCCGTGTGTGCAGGTGTCTCTTCTGCCGGCGCTCTTCCCCCGGCCGCCACTGGCGCTTTTCAGGGTGCAGGGCTTCCTCCGATGCTCGCTGCGCCTGGACACGCCTCCCACGTGTGCAGAGCATGGCAGCCAGTCAGGTGGTGCAGTCGGGGCGTGGGCGTTCGCTGCTGCTGCCGTGCACGCAGGTGTCTCTTGTGCCGGCGCTCTTCCCCCGGCCGCCAGCGCTTTTCAGGGTGCAGGGCTTCCTCCGATGCTCGCCGTGCCCGGACACGCCTCTCACGCGTGCAGAGCATGGCAGCCAGTCAGGTGGTGCAGTCGGGGCATGGGCGTTCGCTGCCGCTGCCGTGCACGCAGGTGTCTCTTGTGCCGGCGCTCTTCCCCCGGCCGCCAGCGCTTTTCAGGGCGCAGGGCTTCCTCCGACGCTCGCCGTGCCCGGACACGCCTCTCACGCGTGCAGGGCGTGGCGGCCAGTCAGGTGGTGGAGTCCAGGCACGGGCGTTCGCTGCCGCTGCCGTGCGTGCAGGTGTCTCTTCTTAAATCTTAAAAGATGATGCAGTAAAAGTGCTTCATTCAATATGCCAGCAAATTTGGAAAACTCAACAGCGGCCACAGAATTAGAAAAGGTCAGTTTACATTCTGATCCCAAAGAAGGACAATGCCAAAGAATGTTCAAACTACCGCACCATTGCACTCATTTCACATGCTAGCAAAGTTATGCTCACAATCCTACAAGCTAGGCTCCAGCAGTATGTGGACCGAGAACTACCAGAAGTACAGCCAGGATTCCGAAGAGGCAGATGAACTAGAGATCAAATTGCCAACATAGGCTGGATCAAGGAGAAAGCTCGGGAGTTCCAGAAAAACATCTACGTCTGCTTCATTGACTATGCTAAAGCCTTTGTTTGTGTGGATCACAACAAATTGTGGCAAGTTCTTAAAGAGATGGGAGTACCAGACCATCTTATTTGTCTCTTGAGAAACCTATATGCGGGTCAAGAGGCAGCAGTGAGAACTGGATACAGAACCACTGATTGGTTCAAAATTGAGAAAGGAGTTCGGCAAGGCTGTATAGCGTTGCCCTGCCTATTTAACTTATATGCAGAGCACATAATGAGATAGGTGGGGCTGGATGAGTCACCTGTTGGAATTAAGATTGCTGGGAGGAATATCAACAACCTCAGATATGCAGATGATACCACTCTCATGGCAGAAAGTGAAGAGGAACTAAAAAGCCTCTTGAGGTGGGTGAAGGAAGAGAGTGCAAAAGTTGGCTTGAAACTCAACATTACGAAAACTAAGATTATGGCATCCGGTCCTCTCACTTCCTGGCATATAGATGGGGAAGAAATGGAGGTAGTGACAGATTTTATTTTCCTGGGCTCCAGGATCACCGCAGACGGGAACTGCAGCCAAGAAATTAAAAGACGCTTGCTCCTGGGGAAGAAAGCTATGGCAAATCTAGACGGCATACTGAAAAGCGGAGACATCACCCTGTCAACAAAAGTGTGTATAGTCAAGGTGATGGTTTTCTCAGCTGCAATGTATGGCTGTGAAAGCTGGACCATAAGGAAGGCTGAGCACCAAAGCATTTAGGCCTTTGAATTGTGGTGCTGGAGGAGACTCCTATGAGTCCCTTGGACTGCAAGGTGATTAAACCACTCAGTCCTAGAGGAGATCAACCCTGACTGCTCTTTAGAAGGCCAGATCCTGAAATGAAACTCAAATACTTTGGCCGCCTAATGAGAAGGAAGGACTCCCTGGAGAAGAACCTAATGCTGGGAACAATAGATGGCAAAAAAGAAGGGGACAGCACAGGATGAGGTGGCTAGATGGAGTCACTGAAGCAGTTGGTGTGAGCTTAAGTGGATTCCAGGGGATGGAGAAGGACAGGAAGGCCTGGAGGAATGTTGTTCATGGGGTCGCAATGGGTCAGACACGAGTTCGCGACTAACAACAACAACAACAACAACAAAACTGGTACTTTTATTGTAATGGCCACCCAGGGAGTGTGATGCTAATGGATGGCTTCCAAACAAATAAAATAAATTAATTAATAAAAATAATATGTTGGGCAATATATGTTTGTGTGGGGAATTCAAGATCTGAATTCCCCACAAAGTAAGCAGCTATATTTTTCCCGTATTTAAATGGGTCTGGATCTGGCTTGAAGGTTGTCACTCTAACAGGCAGATGTGTCTTTCTTCCTCCAAATTCTCCTTCCAGCAAGTGGCAACCTGTTATCATCATAAAAGGTGGAAAAATGACTAGACTTGGAGGACTTGGCAGGCTCTGCCTGCCTCCATGCATCCACAGCTTGTGATGTTGATTCTAAACATTCTCAGAAGCATCATTCCAAGCTCAGACCTCTTCCATTTTGTCAAAGTATGGGGGATGGGGTTGCTGACAAGGAAGGTGGGGCATGTTGGTAGGGTATTCATGTTTTCTTTTTTAAATATTCTACAGGAATTTGCATAATAAAGATGCTTTTCAAGGCAGGCCAAGTGCCGGGGGCAGGGTTAAAACAGAGTTCTGTTAGGTGCATGAACATGCCAAAAATAACTGCTGCTTTGGCTTAGATGAGAACATAATCAAAACACAAAAGAAATTATATACAATGTGCACATGTTGGTAAATTTTACAAACCTTTATTTCCTTGCTCTCCCTTTTGGCCTTTCATGTTCTCCATGTCTACATGCTCCATTGATCCTGGCTCTCCTGGTAGACCTGTTTCACCCTTTTCACCTTTTAAACCAGGTTCACCTCTAATTCCTGCTACTCCAGGAAGGCCTGAGTAACCTGCAACAAGCATGCTACACTGGTCACCAGAAGTCCAGGATAAGGTTTGAATGGAAGGGATAAGAATAACATTCTCAAATTCTCCAAAGAAACATAATTAGAAAAATGCATTTAAAAATACTTTCCTTAATTCAATTTGACTTTATTTAAGCATATTGCTAGAGTAAGTTTCTGATAGGCTATAAGTCAGTCATGTATTTTATTAAGTTCAAGGATTTTCAGAAAACCTAAAATGCTCAAATTATCAATACAAAAAAACCAACAAAAATGACAGACAATATACACTTATTTGATTGTCCCAGTGTGATATTTCTTGTAGATTTTTAAAAGCATTTACTTGAAACCCCAACTTGGGAGTGCTCCGTGACTCAAAACTCTCATTGGAGCCTCAGGTGGATTTGATGGCCAGGAGTACCTTTTTCCAGCTATGGCAAATACAGCAACTGCAGCCTTATCTGAATAGGCAGGCCTGATTATGGTTACTCATGTGCTGTTATCATCCTGCCTGGAGTACTGTAATGTGCTCCACATAGCCCTTCAAGACAGTCCAGAGACTTCAGCTGGTCCAAAATAGGGCTGTGTGTCTGGTGTTGGATGTCAGTTCATGTGCCCACATAACACCTATTCTATACAAATTACATTGGCTGCCAGTTGAAGCCTGTACCCAATTTAAAGTGCTTGTTTTAACATACAAAGCCCTAAATGGCTTGGGGGATCCAGTTACTTGAAGGACTGCCTTTTTCAGTATATTCCTATCCACCTGTTGAGAACTGAGAATGAGGTCCTTCTGAGAGAGCCGTCCCCAAAATAGGCAAAAGGGATGGCACTTAGAAGAAGGGCCTTCTTGGTGGTTGTCTCCAACTTTTGGAATGGGCTTCCTGAAGAGGTCTGCCTACTTTCATTTTGGTGCCAGGCAAAAACCATCCTCTTTCACAGATTTTATGGAACCTGAATTCAAAACCTGATTACAAGTGCTCACACTGCTTCAACAGATTTCCTCCCCTTTTCCCCCTGTAGTTACATAGTTTGCTGTATATTGCTAGCCACTTAGAGAGTCCTGTCAGCCCACTGAGCAGCATATTCATGTGTAAATCAATCAATCAATCAATCAATCAATCAGTAAATAAAACCTCAGGATCAATTTTAGAGTTGAAAAGGATCATGAATCTGCCTGGTCTCTGTTTAAATTCCTCCAGTACAAGAGAGTCTCAAGAAAGTATGCTCTCTGTTAAGAAGTTTTGCTTAATGTGTCTGCTTTCTTTACAATTTTTACCCATTCAGTCAAGTCTTGCGCTTTGGAGAAACAAAGAACAAACATGTGCCATCTTCTGCATGACAGCTTTTCAGATATCTGAAGACAGCCATGGTGTTTTTGTCTTTGTCTCTGAGCTAAACATAACCAGTGCTTTTGACCATTCCTCATGGTTTGGTTCCCAGACCATTGATCATAATGATTGTCCTCTTCTTGCCCTAGTCTGTCAGTTCTTAAATGTGGTACCCAGAAGCACTTTGTCAAGGTCCCTGCATTTGACTAATCTTCAAATGATTATGATGTAAGCTGCCTTGAGCCCTTTGTAGGAAAAAGGCAGGATATAAATCGATTAAATAAATAAATAAATACTTGAATCTTGATTATTTACTATTGTGTTATCTGCCTCTCCCAGCTTTGTGTTATCTTCAAATGCGAAATATTTTTCTCATTTAGTGCAGTTGTCTCACAACTAATATTGTATTACTATCTCACATAGTAGCATTTGTTAACAAGAATATCAAATGTTGACATTTTACTACAAACATGATACATTACCTCTATGGCATACCCATGATCTACTAATCTAGTAATACTATGGAAAAAAGGGAGATAACGTTTTCCTGTCCTGACTTATTTTTGATACATCCATGTGGCTCCTAATATCAAACCTTTATTTTCTAGATGCACAAAGACTGACTAATCTGCTCTAGAATGCTGCCAGAAACACAGATCTTGGTAGTAAACAATATACCCTAAGCAGTCTCTTCCATGTTATCCAAACAAAGCCTCAGCAGGCAGGCAAATTTTGACATGCTCTTTTGGTCCTTGGATGGAGATGGCTCTTTTCCTCTTCACTAAGCTCTGCTCTACTCAGTTCTTCAGATTTTCCCAGCATAAATTCACATTGCTCTCTGTGTCACCTGCACATGTAATTTCAGCTCCACCTTTAGCACTTATAAAGTATATCACTGCACTAGCCAATCACTTTTTTGTTTTTGGGTTTGTTTGTTTTGGGTGCATCTCTTGGGCTCCTGTACTACCACAACTAATTGGCTGATTGTTCCAGCATTATTCTCTTTCCTCTCTCATTGTTACAGCTGGCAAGCGGTTTCCTGGCTCTCTACCCTAAGACTCCTCTAGAAGCCCAGATCACAGTAGCCAGTCCAATGCTGAAGCAAACAACAAGAGAAAATCAAAGAGCCCCTAAGGATGAGTAGCTTTTGCAAACGGAGAGAGCATGAGTAATTGAGACAGAAAGGCAGAGGGCCCTGCTTGAGGTGAGTGAAAGCTGCTAGTGGGCCTTGGACCTTGCCACAGAGAAACAGTATAGTCTTCCCCTCCAAACTGTATTATCTCAGCATCCCAATGTAGTTATTCTCAGCACATGTTAGATCAGATTCAAAACACCCACTGTATGGCAGGGTGTTTCCACAGTTCACATTGAAGTATCCACCATCCACCTCCTGTCCAATATTTCATAAACAGAGCTGTCCACATTTCTCAATTTCCTTGGAGAGGAAGCAGCTGCTGAATACTTAAGTGTGAATTATAGAAGCACCTGCCTTTATCATGAGTGCTATGGATCCAATCCAGCATGCACTGAGGGCAGTTGTGGCCAGGAGCTGAAGAGCCACAGTGGGCAAGGAGGGACTATACAGTCCTCCAGTTGAGCTGCTCTGGATACATACTATCTACACACTGCTGGAAGCAGGACTGCATTCAGGCTGTAACAGTGTTAATGATGTGGTTTTAATGAAAGGCCAGAATCAACACAATGCTGGAGAGCAATTTGTTTCCATTTAAAAAGAGCAGCAAGAGTCCCTTTAATCAGTTAGAAAGGCCGAGGAAGAAATCTTAATTCTTTCCCTCCACATCATTGTACTGGTATACATTTCCTCTGTAACAAGGAAAATAGCAGCTGCAGGGGCAATTTATCATGGAGAAATTATGCAAGGAAATGGTTAGCTCCTCCTCCTGCAACATTACAGTTCTAATCCAATTCAGTTCCCCTTCCCATCTTTTGGGGAAAAAAAAAGAGAGAGTTCCAACTATGGCTCTCTAATGTTCCAGATAAACAACTTGGCTTTAGGGTAAATTAATGCAAATGATTCTTACCTTTTTCACCTGGACTACCAGGAGATCCAATAGGGCCAGGAGGCCCCTGGATTCCAGGGGTTCCCATCACTCCCATTTCTCCTTTGATTCCTAAAACCAAATTGGAACAATTTTTTACATTATTTTATTACTGTAATTAATTTATGAAGTATATAACATCATACTGTACTTAACAGGCATTTGGCAATATATGATAAAACATTAAAACTATGTAATATCCAAGAAATAAGACCATACAATAAAATTTATGAGTGAGATTACAATTAAAGAGCAGGAAAGCCTGACTAGACATAAAGCAGAAGATGTCAATCTCGCCTCTCTCAGAAGGGAGTCCCATAGATGAAGTGCTGCTGTCAAAAAAGCACAGACATGAGCGCATAATGCACATGCATAATGCAGCCCATGTACACTTCTGTCAAGTACACTCTTGGTGAGAGTCCAGTGGCTTCATTTTATAGTAGCTGCACTTTCCAAACACTTTTCAAGGACAGCTCTCCACAAGGCATGAACTACAATGGTTTAAACAAGAAGTGATTACAGCAGGTAACTGCTATGATCAGATCTTCCTTTCCTTAGAAAGTGTACTTGTTGGGAGCCAGGTTTCTCCCCTTCTCTCTTCCAAAGTAACAGACCATTCTTTGGAAACATCTCTTTACAGTGGTGCCTCATACTTCAAACTTAATTCATTTCAGGAGGCCATTTGAACTCTGAATCGTTTGACGTCTGAAGCAATTTCTCCCATTAGAAACAATGGAAAGTGAATTAATCCATTCCCTAAACAATACCCACTTTGGTAAATTTAAACAGCAAATACGGCCTCCTGAAATGAATTAAGTTCGAGGTTATATGATATGATCAAAAAATATGATGAATGATTAAATTAAAAAATATATTACAATAAAAGACACATTGCCATTAATTCCATTCAAAATACTCCCCCTCGCTTCAAATACACTTATCCCAGCACTGTCCTGGCTGCCTCAATATCTTGAAACGATTCCAGATAAACCCATTCAAGTCGAGATGAATCAATTCAAGGTGAATAGATTCAAGTCAAGACAAATCAAATCAACACAAATCAATTCAAGTCAAGACAAATCAATTCAAGACCAATTGATTCGGGACACTGAGGCTTTTTTTCCGACTTGGGCACACAACTGATGACATTTTCACTGCGACTGCATTTTTTTCACTTCGCTTGCAGTTTGAACCTAAAAGCATCAATTGAACTGCAGAGTGATTTTATCTCAACTAAAACATTCAAACTCTGGATCATTCAAAGTCAGAGTTGTTCAAACTATGAGGCAACACTGTATTTCCAATGCACCTCCAGCAAACTATAGCTAGCAAAGAAAGAGACTCTGAACATGCACATGGTTCACTGAACCCAAACTAGAAACTATTTTCAAGAACCTTCCATTTCATTAACCTTGAGTGTCGCTCCTCTGGAGGTGGGCAAGTTTCCTAGCTATACACAGACCCTCTATTTCAGTCAGCTCTTCTCTCCTGACTTCGTATCATGGGGTCAAGGATTGGACCAGGCTCCTTTGGCTCCAGTGGCTCTTCCAATGTCCCCTCCCAGCTCTTGCAGACCTTGATAGTTCTCGGGGCCTGTCTGAACACTTGGAGATAGTGGCCTTGAGGGCCTTCCACCTCTGCCATCTTTATGTCTGAAAGCCTAATTTCCCAGGCCTCATCTTCTGCATCCAAAAGTCTGTGTCACCCTATCCCTGAAACATGTGCTGAGAACAACTGCCTTTCTCATTCTCAAAAGGACCAGACAGGGACAAGCAAAGTACCTCCTGTCCATTGCTGCTACCTGGCCTACAGGAACAATCATCCAAACAAAAAACACAGAATAATAATGAGGGTACCAGGCAGACTTCCTTTGAGAGAGCAATCTAGAAGGGCTGAAGGGCTACCATCAAAACAAGAGAGACTTATTGCTACCCTTGGAGCTTCAGAATGAAAGAGCACTTGGAGAAGGTTTCGATGGATGACCTTAAAGTTGTTGATTTACAGCCTTACAGTTCTCTTACTAGAGAGGCCTCTATGTGCCCTTCCTTGTTGCCATCCCAATGTAATACACAAATCAAAGTATTTCCTGTGACTATTTTGCAGAAAGTTTACACATACCCATATAGACATGCAAGGCATACTTGTTTGCAGAATGAAAATTTTTTTGAACAGTTGCTTAACTCTTAGGTTTATCATTTTTACTTTTTGATGCATTTTACTGTTCCATGGGAATCAGCAAGTTCTACAGAATGTGCTGTTGTGCAATGCATCTTGCTACCTCTGCTTTGTGGATCCAACTTCAGACAGCAGCTAGCACTGCTGATATCTACAAAACACAGTTATGTTTAACTGGAATTCTTGCCTCTGAAACCCTCCTCTTCTTGGATGCCAGTAATCATCTGAGCTTGGATGGTGTTCTTATCACACTGTATGACATCCTTGCTTGGTTAAGAAGATATTAATATAGCAACATTTAATGGTTGGTAGGCGTGTTGTGAGCAGAGCCAGCTAGAGCTGAGGGTCAGACTAGACGGCTCGGGAGGCCCTTTCTGACTCGTTCTATTTCTATGTTTGAATATTTCTAATTACTAAAAGGGAAAACACATACCTGGAACACCTGGCTGCCCTTCTCGTCCTTGTGGGCCAGGTGGGCCAGGCAATCCTTGCAGCCCTGGCAGCCCATGCAATCCTTGGCTACCTTTGTCTCCTTTTGGCCCAGGCGCATGTTCTCCAGGAATTCCTGGGTAGCCTTTTTCTCCTTTTATTCCTGGAACTCCTGGATTGAGAAAATCATCATACAAAATAGCTCTTGAAAACAATATGTTCAGTATGGCACATGACCTATTTACTATCACTCCTGGAAAAATGGGAAGAGAAACTAATTTTTGGAGTGATTGTTCAACCTTAACAATGTTAGATTACTTATTAATGAAATAAATGCTTTAGTTGCAACAAACAAATCCTTGAGCTACAACAATTTTGCAACAACAATAACACTTTAAATGTTAACAATAATGAAAGAAAGCTATGGTAAAGAAATAATAATGAAAGAATGTATGGTTAGACAGAAACAAATCTGGTTTTCCCTAGCAAGGGGACATAGGATTGTACCTTACTCTTCTCTCCCTCTGCGCCCACCCCTCATTTTAAGAAGGTTTTTAGGAAGTTTAAAGGAAAGAAATATTAAGGCTGAAATCCTAAACATACTTACCTAAGTGTATATTCCCTTCAGTTAATGAGACTTACTTCTTAGTAGGCATATATAGGAGTGCATAGTAAATATTCTAATCATGCTGCAGCTTTGTGTTATGCTCAACTTCCTAATGAAAGTCAGAAACTTAAATAGCTTTATAGTTTCTCAAACAAACAAACAAAGGAATAGTGCAAACTAACGCAATTGGTTTCAATGTATGTTAGAAATTCCACATCTTATTTGCAAATATAAATGGTGATGGAAATAAATCCTAAATGAGCAGTTTACCTATTGGTCCCTGAGGCCCAGATTGTCCTGGAGGGCCAGGAGGGCCAGGAGGACCTATTCCTGGTATCCCAGGGGAACCCTGTAGACCTGGTAATCCAGGAGGGCCAGGATCACCTGCATGAAAAAATGAACAACAGTGAGAGTAAGCCCCAGTTAAAAGCCCCAGTGGCACTGTTCTCTGAGCAAAGGTTCAGAGAATTGGCTCAAACATATTATTTCCTTTCTCACATTTTGAAAATCAAGGAAAACAAAAGGCATGATGATACTATACTGGAGTGGCTTCTCATGAAAAGAGAAGAAGAAGACTAAAGAAAGAAAAACAAGAATCACTAATTAAGAGTCTTGTGGGAATTACGTGAGGAATCATGTTATCTTTGACTCCAACTCTTACCCCATATGGAGTTTTACACAGGAAAAAAAATGTTGCAACATAATTTTAGCCAATAAGGCAAAAAGCTAACCTTGGAGTCCTGGCTGGCCAGCTACACCTGGAAATCCTTTTTCTCCTGGTATACCAGGCAAGCCTTGATCGCCTTTTGCTCCAGAAAGACCATCTCGTCCCTTGGGGCCAGGAAAACCTTTAGGGCCTGGAAGGCCTAGTCCAGGTTCACCCTTAACATATGTGAATAATAAAACAACATTAAAAGAAAAACATCACCCCCCCCAACAGGTGGGCTTAAAATTACACTCAGTTGAAAAACTAATAAAATGTGAATATATCCAGTAGAGTATAACATAAAAACAGGGTGTCAGCTTCAAATAATTGGATAAACTAGGTGTAATGGAATAGTAATGAATGACATTGTATCAGAATGAAGCTGCCAGCAGCCAATGTTGGCAAATGATTTTGTGAAGGAATTGAAGAATAAATTGGATAGGGCCTGGGGACACGAGAATCCACAGGAATCAGAGATCGGGAGAAAAGTTAGGAGACTCAGTAGAAACAGAATGAGCAAAAACTAAGGACAGAGAGACAAAAAAACAATGACCAGGTTTGGACAATATGATAAAGATCATTAATTAATTAAACCATGATGAGCTGCAGCACCTGTAGACTCCAGATTGGAACTGCAACCCTCACTTTGGACAGTGCTGAGAATGGGGTGCTATGAGACACATTACCAACATATAAAAAAGGGAACTTGCAATTCTAAAGAAGGGGGAGGGGAAGAAGACACAAATTCATATGCTACAAATATATTCAAATTTAAAAATCATTATTGTAATTTAGGTAAACGAATGATACAAATTATCACTGTGGACAGTATTAGTTGGGTTCATACCTAACAAGCAATTACATGTTTTTTTGCATGGACAAGCCTCATCAGACTCAGCATGAAAACTCTCCTCCCATATGCCATTTTCTTCCACTCAGTCCTCTCAGCAACATCTCAGGAAGCACTGCAGGGAGGAAGGAGTTCCCCACTGCAACAGCTGTAAGTTTAGCTTTCTGCAACTGTTGAGCAGCCTCTGCTGCATGAGCAGGGGCCCTGAAAACAGCACTGAAGACAAGCAGGGGGTCAGGCATCCTCCCCTCCTGCTGCAAGCAGACTGCAGGCATTCCCTACCTGGCCCCTACAAAGCTCAGGAATGCCTCTCTGGCAAGCCACAGCAAGAATGTGGGGACAGCCCATACCTTACTGCTGCTGCTCAGCTGCTTCTTGCCATGCACTAGCTCATTCACATGCATGAGGAGTTTTGCTCTGGCACATGCAAAGAGGCAAAGGGGATTGGTTGAGCAGTGCTGTTCACTGCCCCTGTGGTGGGCTCCCAAGGAACGGCACTCTGTCTTGTGCAAAGGGGCAGCATGGAGGGATGTGCTACAGTATGTAGCCCCCAAGCAGGAACAACTGCTGCTGCTCAGCTGCTTCTTGCCCGGCTGTTCACATGAGACAGCAGCAAGGGCAAATCCACTGCAGCATGAAGCTCCCAGCTGGGCACCACATCCCAGTGGAGTCTGGCCACTCTGGCTCATGCAAGAGCAGTGGCAGGGGAATCAACTGAGTGGCAATGCTCTTCTGCCAACACTGACCAGCTGACTGCCTACTCCTGCCCCAAACATCTCCAGTGGGAATGCCTCTGTCTGTTGTACCAAATGGCAGCTGTCAGTGGCACTCTCTGGTTAGCCACTTGGCAAGAGCAGCAAGAGGCCACTCTTGGCAAGTGGCTTTATAGCTTTGACCTCTGGATCATGACGAATTGTGTGTTCTGGTCTGGATGGCACAACATGCAATTGCGGTACAGAGAATCCATAGAATTGACTATTAGTTCTGTCTGTGGTTTCTAAAAACAAAATATATAATGCTGAAATATCACAATAGGGTTTGGAAGGCACAACAGAAGTAAAAAAAAACAACCACCATTGGTAGTTGTGTCATTTGAACCCATCCACCATGGGTCCACCCTCAGAAGGCAAATGTAATGGGAAGACACAGGTACTTCTGCCCATCAGCAGCAGAATCAGGTCTTAGCATGTGAGGGAAAACCAGGAAAGAAGCTGGTGATGGTAAAGGAGCAGCTCCTGCCAACTCCATGGTGAGGGAATGGGAGAGGGAAGAAATACAAGCAATTTCTATTGTTATAACAGACAGAAGCTTGTGGGTAAATGAAGGGGGAAGGTAGCATAAACATTTTCAAATAATCCTACATTCAGTAGAATGAGTATGAGATTTAGCTGATTGATGTTATTGTTGTATCTTTTATCCAACTTCAGCTCCAGAAGACTGGGCACTCTGTAGCTCTCCTTCGCCTTCTTTGCCCTCTCATCCTTCCTTCCCACTCCCAAGAAAAACTGAGGCACTCCTTCCTTTTCTTTTCCTTCCTTCTGCTCCATGCACTCTATATGCTTCTGTCCACTACAGTTATTTCTCTCCTACTTGCCATGTTGGTCTGTGGATCAGCATTATTTTCAGGTAGCTCAAACTGCTGGAACCTGGCAGGGGAAGATGAAGATAGGAGAGAAGAGTCCTGCTCCTGGAATACACTGTGTTCTCTACGCTCATCATAGCCCATAGAAATCTAAACATTTTCTATTACTATCTCTCAGCAGTAAGAGATAGAATCTAGAATTTCAGAATTTTCCTGGACAAATGGGGGAAAACAAAGAAACAAGCAAACAAATGCAAGCCAAACAAGACTAAAAATAAAGGGCAATCTGGGGCTAAAGAGGACACTGGCTAGCCTAGCTATGAAGCAGTGATTTGAAATAATTATGTGTAAGACAAGATCATGGTAAAAGGAATGAAACAGAACTGAGAAAAGACATCTAGAGCAGGGGGACAAGGGATAAACCTTATCAAGGGAAAGGAGAGATTTGCAGATAGATATAGAAGCTGAATTCCATACATTAGTTTGAATTAATAAGCAAAAACAAGAAAATTTTCAAAAATGCACATATTTGAATATATTTATTAAATATGATTCATATGTTCCATTTTATGGGAAAGTAACCATTTGCTTTAATATTTACATGTGTTTATACCACTCAATTCTGCCAAATTAATACTTGAAGATATTGGTCAAGTGCAATATTTTTCAATAGAAGGAAAAGCTGAAAAATAGGATATGGAAATCTTATGTGAAATTAGAACCAGAAATATTGTTGCAGTCTTCTGTAACCATATAATGATGCTGAGTTGCTGAACTAGGGATGAAGTAGGCATTCATTTGGTTAATATTTTAAAGTGAACCTAAGTTTACTTCCTAAACCAATATATGGCCTCAGCATGTTCTTACAAAATTATTATAATAATAAAATAAAATGTTAGGAGAAAATGTATATAAAATTCATATTATAGAAAAAGTGTGTACGACATGTATGTTAGAAGAAATATATATGCAACTTTTATATGTGTGTGTGTGTGTGTGTGTGTGTGTGTGTGTGTGTGTAAAGTCCTTTTCACCCACCATAAGCTTGTGCAAAACTGGGACAAAAAAAATTTAAGATTGGAAAAAAAAGAAACTGACAGAAACCAACATGGATTCTGACAGAAACCAAAAATCACAGAAATTCACTAACAGAAACCAAAATGTATACATCCCTCATCTGACCCATCCTTATTATTAGCACCAGTAACTGTTAATTATTAGAAGAAAGTCCAAACTACTAGGGATTACCTTTTGACCTTGTAATCCTGGTATACCTGGTGGCCCTTGGAAACCCAGATCTCCTTTCTTCCCAGTTATGCCTGGTGTGCCTGGCTCACCTGGGAAACCTACAAAATCAAAGACATTATAATGTAAGGTAATGCCAATGTTCTTTTTGCAGGAAACACCTAGCTTTAAGATAACATTTAAGATTTTAGCTGCTCATAGCAAATGTGAAAACTATTTCTTATCTAAAAGAGTACCTAGTGACCTATTAACTTGCCTATTCTTTAAAATCTTCTTCCAAGACTCTTTCTCCATGTTTGAAGATCATTTTCAGAGAAGAGCATTCCTTCAGCAGTGCTGCAATGCCCAACCCATTATGGAATATCCTTCACAAATAGGATATTTGTTTTTTTTTAAATTCTGTCTTATTTCTGGGTTTTCCATTTGCTTTAGTTGTACAGCATCTTGAACTATGGCAAGATGGAGGACTATCTAAATGGGTTTTCAGTGGGACAAAACAAACTTAATTAACACATTCATACACCCTCACACTGACAGATGAAAAAGGAGAGAGGGAGATGTGAAGCCTGCCTATTTTCCTGTTGTAATGAATTGTATTTTCTAATGTTTCTCTTTTAAATCATGAATGGCGAACTATCAACTCCCAGGCCAGATATGACTCATGGAAGTTCCCCATTTGACCTTGTATCTTCTCCCTAGATATCCTCCCTTTTTCAGCAGAGAGAAGCTCTCATCTCTGCTAGCTCCTGATCTGGACATTTTCTCTGACTTTGAGAGGGAGCAGGGCCAGGGAAAGAAACTGCTGAATGATTCAGAGGTGTTCTGAAGAGGCATTCTCTGCTTGCCTCAGAGCTGCTTCCTGCAACCCTGTAAACTGTGTCCTACTGCCCCACAGATTACTTCTGAATAGACATGCAGAGGGTTTCACTTGCTTAGAAAGCCAATAGCATTTTGGTCCAACCTGCTCTGCCTTCAGCCCTGGAGACAAATGGAATGCACCTCCCCACTCCCATAAGAGTGCTGCCAGGTTGGAATTTGGACTTTGGACCAAAAAGATTCCTTACTCCTATTTTACATAATCAATCAATCAATCAAACATTTCATAGTGGGCATTGCAGGTGCTTCAGGACTACTAATGCAGTCCAAAACAGCATTTGCACCTTTTGCAGGCACATCACATTGTTGACTCATATTCAGCTTGTGATCTACAACAACTGCAAGACCCTTCTCACTTGCAGTATTGTTAAGCTAAGATTTATTTATTTATTTATTTATTTATATCCTGCCTTTTTCCTACAAAGGGCTCAAGGCAGCTTACATCATCTCTCCTCCTCCATCTTATCCCCACAACAACAACCCTGTGAGGTAGTTTGGGCTGAGAGTCTGTGACTGGCCCAAAGTCACTCAGTTGGCTCCATGGCTGAGCGGGGACTACAACCCAGATCGTCTGAGTCCCAGTCCCATGCTCTTAACCACTACACCACACTGACTCTCGATCCCCCATCTTGGAGCAATGCATTTGGTTTCCTCTTCCTAGGTGCAGAATTTGACATTTGCCCCAACTGAATTTCATTCTGTTGTTTTCAGCCCAGCATTCCAACCTATCAAAATCACCTTGAAACTTTTTTCTGTCTTCCATGGGGTTCGCAATCACACCCAATTTTGTGTCATCTGCAAATCTGTTTTCTGTTCCCTGAACTTCCCCAATCCAAATCATTCATAAAAATTGAAGAGCATGGGCCCGGGACTAAACTCTGCTGTACCACACTTATTACCTCTCTCCAGTCTGAGAATGTGCCATTGATGAGCACTCTTTGAGTTTGATTCTGCAGTAAATTGTGGATCTACCTGACAGTTGTCCCATCTAGTCCACTTTTAGCTAGTTTGCTAATCAGGATGTTGTGAGGCACTTTGTCAAAAGCTTTGCAGAAGTCAAGATAGATTATGTTCATAGAATTCCCACAGTCCACCAGGAAGGTTACCCAATTAAAAAATGAAATCAGATTAGTCCGGTAGGATTTGTTCTTGAGAAATCTATGTTGGCTTCTAGTAATCACTACATTGTTTTCAAGGTGTTTGCAGACTGTTCTATAATCTGCTCCAGAATTTTTCGAGGGATTGATGTCAGACTGGTCTGTTGTTCCCAAATTCTTTTTCCCCCCTTTCTTTAAGACGGGGATGACATTAGATCTTCTCCAGTCATCTGGCAGTTCCCCTGTCATCCATAATTTCTCTAAGAACTTTCTGACTTAGACAAGTAATTACAGGAGTATGATAAAGCAAAGCTGTAGAAATTGGGTGTATGGCTGAAAATGTAGTTGTAGCACAGGGAAGGCAGGATTGTGTGCTATTGCCTGTTTTCTGTCTCTGAGCACAAATATTAATGTGTTTTGAACCAAAATATGGGGTTCTGGCTTGTTGGCTTAAATTGGTCCTTCTGCCTTCTATAGCAGACCCAGCAGCACTCAAAGGAGAGGGAGTACAGATTTAAGGTGACCCTCAGTTGAATGCCCTGTAATGGCCCTAACCCTATTTCAGTCTTCAGAAGGATTAAGGTGAGCAATGGTAGGGGCATAAGCAGTAGTATTCCATTCTGTACAGAAGAGTTTTTCCTTTGATTTTCCAGTGTCATGCTGGAACCCTACAATGGGAGCATTGCAGGAAATCCAAACAGCGGCTGCCTGGCACTGTTTGGAGTTAGGGTTTTAAGAGAGAAGGACAAGGCAGGGCAGATAACAGTGGCAACATAGTGGCTACTGGTGTCACTTAAATGGCCCTAGGCTGTGACACACAGATACTGGGCCTAAATAGCAAAGTCATTAATTTCAGCCTAATGTGACTACTTCCCCTCACCTAGGATTTATCAGCAGAAATCTTGTTAGCTGACAAAGGAGAGCAGAAGATAGCAAGACTCCTCTATTTTCCTAAGGGGTAAGTCATATTTGCTATTGCTTCTGTGAACTATCTCAAATTTTACTTTCAAAAGAGGAAGGAGAGCTATGCATATTAAATACAAATAAAATTAAAGCTACTTTGTTGAGCAAAGTACTGAAAACTACTTTGTTTTCTCTCCTCCTGCTAACATGTTTAAGGAGAAAGATATAATCTTAACTGTGAAGGTGTTTTCCTTACTAACAAAACCATTCTATATGTGAATTGAGTAATGGTGAGCAAAACTGCACTTCCTGCTTCTGGAGATAAACTATTTATTGTGCATTTTGGTCACCATGAATAAGAGAGAAAAGCAGCAAGCTAAAAGCCAAGTGGCCTTTATACACCAAAGCATATTTGGATAGCTTTGAGGGATGGAAATTCAGAGGCAAAACACAGCTCATGCTCCATGGGAACATCAGGCAAGCCTTCTCCATGTTGATAAAAGTGGTAACATGAGTGGAAAGCCTAGAATTTCTTTCTGTGGGTTCTGTGGGTGAGGAGTGATGGCAGTAATTTGCTTTTGTGTAGTACTCATGTGACAAAATGAGAATACTGGGATATCAAATCACATTGCTTAGGCCCATTTTAAAGAATATAATGGGGTCTTCTTTCCTAGTCCCCTTACTTACATATGACAAGCTTTCCCAGATGTAAAGCATTCTCTGTCTAGGCTCTCATCAAATGGCCAGTCATGTTTTACTATAAATAACATTATAATATTATACCTGGAGGCCCTGGAGGGCCAGGAAGGCCTATTCCTGGTAGTCCTGTTAGACCTTTTTCACCTGGCAGGCCAGGTCTTCCTGGGATCCCAGGATCTCCCTTTTCACCTGTATAGTTACATATAAAATGAGGCAAGCTTAGTCCTTATGCAAACAAATGATTTTGGTGGGATGTTTTGAATAATTAAGAGCACTTCCCACATTAAAAGGAAAAAAGTACCTTGGATGCCTGGAAATCCAGGAGTTCCAGGAATACCATCAGGTCCTGGGGGACCAGGCAGAGCAATGGCATGCCCAGCTTCACCTTTGGGTCCTTGTGATAAAAGACAAAAATACAGCACCTTAAGCAATACTCATTAAAGGCACTCATTTCTGTTAAGAATGAATAACACATCTTCTGACACTTTACTCCCATATATTTAATTGATGACACAGGAATACTCTTGTCTGCGTGCCATCCTATGTATGTTTGGAGAGAAATGCATCCTACCACTTCCACTTGCGCAGAGCCACCCTTTGTCTGCAGTCCTATACATGCTTCCCTGGGATCAAGCCACATTGAACTCAATAGGAATTACTTGAGGGTAAACAGGCATAGGATTGCAATGTAAGATGGTAATCTTAATGGATCAGAACTAACTTCTGATCTGTTAATGAATAAGACAGCATGCTAAGGCTGCAATCCTACATGCACTTCCTAGAGAGTAAGCCCCATCAAATACAATAGGATTTCTTTCTGAACTAACAAGAACAGGATTAAATTTAGTACATAGCTTTTTTACATGATTATCATATTGCATGAATGAATTTGAACCCATTCTGATGTCATTTTTGTGATTGAATTTTAAATTTTGGATAGCTTTTCAATTGTAAAAATTGTCTTCTGGGTATATAGTAAATATTTATACATTACAAAAATGATCATGATTAATAACGTTACCTGGAAGTCCTGGTGTGCCAGGGTTTCCTGAAATACCTTCTTCCCCTTTATCACCAGGTGGTCCAGCAAGTCCAACTCCTGGAGGACCTGGAAGGCCTCTATCTCCAGGGGTTCCTGGAAAACCTCTTACTCCTGGGGGACCATGATCTCCTTTTAACCCCACCGTACCCTGATTTTAAGGAAATAAGGAATTATTACTTCAACATACACATCAAAAATACACATGTTTGGTTTCCAAAATTCTATTAATATCTTCCACTGACAGAGAACGACCCCTTTTGCTAAACAACAGAGAAGGGTCTCAGCCACACTGGACTCCTAATATGATAGTTTACCTAGTAGTTTTCCAGGTGGCCCTTTTCGTACCTTACACTATAAACTCATCTTATTTTTGGTGTGACCATATGAATTTTTGACTAAGTCTCAAATGGAAGGTTGTGGTCCATGTGGGAACCAGGTTGACAATTCAGGTTTCTACCACAGCTTCTTGTGTTGTCTGAACCTAGCAAAGCTGGCTTGTTGGGATGGTTAACAGACATGAGTTCTGGATGGTTTGTTAACCACCCCCACAAGCCCTCCTTGCTGGGTTCAGACAATGTAAGAAGTTGCATCTGGTGATGGTAATTAGTAAATTGGGGTAGCATTCAACTGGCATGCACAGGTTAATTAACAAGCCACTGTAGTTTCTTAAGTACCACCAAGTTGTCTATGAGTTAACCAAACCTTATGAGTTAACCAAGCATTGCTTACTTCCCATTCCTACAATGGGTGGATGAATAGCCTTTATCAGTTGGAACCATACTTTTAATGAGTTTACACATGGAATAAACTAGGCAAATTAATCACATATATTACAAAGAAGCAAATACATTTGTGTCAGTGGTAAGAGATGGATTGTGGAATGGGGTGAAGTCCAGCCAGGGACAAATGCTCCAATCTCTTCACCATCTAGATATTAAATATTATTTGTAGTGATGCTCCATTTGCACTAAAAATCTGGTAATGGAATTAATACTGTAGCACAATATTATCTAAATATGTTAATTATATCATTGAATAGAACTTAACTCAGCTGGAGGTCTTGCACAGAAGAAATGGAAGTGATTCTTAACTGAACTTGTAAATTTTACACTCTATTGGTGTAGAGGTATGGCTGCCAATTAATTAATTAATTAAACCATGGTTTGTTGTTACATGCAGTTTCACAAATAGGGTTTCACTGGTTGTAACAAATAGGGTGAAAATAGGGAGAGCCAGTGTGGTATAGTGGTTAAGAGTGCAGGACTGGGACTCAGGAGATGTGGGTTCTAGTCCCCACTTGGCCATGGAGCCAACTGGTTGAGTTTGGGCCGGTCACAGACTCTCAGCCCAACGAACCTCACAGGGTTGTTGTTCTTGTGGGAATAAGGTTGAGAGCAGCAGGTGGAGAATGACATAAGCTGCTTTGAGTTTGTTGTAAGAAAAAAGCAGGATATAAATCTAACAAATAAATCTAATATCAGTAATGCAATATCAAGAATATTACACAATTAGAATATGCCAGGTGCTTTGTGAAGCAATATTCAAGTTGTAAAACTTTAGTTCTTTTAGAACTCTTTACTGTCTTGCCCTGTTGCTGGATTTAATTTTGGTTTTGTCATGTCTTGCTGCAGTTTTTTTTAGTTCAACTTGTTTATCATTGTTTTTATTGTTGTCTTGTGTTTTATGTTGTTAATTTGTATACCACCCAGAGAAATTTGGTTATTTGGCAGTTTGAAACTGTAATCAATAAATAACAACAATGTGATAGTAGAAGTCTCTTCCTCATATTGTAGATGTGGTAAGCCCACGGACAAACCATTATATGCAGAAATGGTAATTCACAGTGGGCTGGATCCAGACTGGGGAGAACAGAAGTCCCCAGTGAGGCTTTCCTCCTCCTGCTGTGGCCCTGCCAATCACAGGTGGGGTGCCTCCCTCCTTCTAAGAACCAAACTCCAATGTGGGGATGCTCTCAGGGAACACATGCCAGTGGTGGAAGTTACCAAAGGAAAAGGGGGAGGGGCTGAAATACAAAAGCTGCCATCATAGGGTTGCTCAGAGCTCTGACTTTAGGAAAGGCTCTTCAACTTTTTAAAGTAAGAAATGTCAGGAAACCATCAAATGATTGGTGGTTGGGGAGAACAGAGTGAAGCCAGGAAAACAGCGTGTGACACTCCGGGGGTTATCAGCGTGTGACACTCCGGGGGTCAGAAAGGGACCTTAGCAGGGCTAGATGTGGCCTCCAAGCCTGAGGTATTCCACATCTGCAGGAAATCCTTCCCTGGGGACTACAAAGTGAGGGACAGGTTCATAAACTTAGGCAGGGGCACCTTACATGAGTGGGCTCTTTATACAGTGGAGCACACATTAATGGGGGGTGACACCTACCTCTCCTTCACCTTACCTTATTATATGCTATTGCTTCCAAGAACTTTCAAGCAGTTTTTCCCTAGCCCAATCCAATACCAAAAGTGCAGCAGGCAAGGAGAAAGTTGCTTAAAGCTGCAGAGCACAGCACAGCAAGATAAGATGAGGGAGAAGTTTCACTCCCTTCCTCCATATGCTCCACATTGTTTCTCCTGCTTTATGTATGAATGGGACAAACACATGATTATTAGGCATATGCTTAGCCTGCACTTCTGGTTTCATCCTTATTAGTTCTAAAGGTTCTGATGCTGCTAGAACACTGTTTCAGTAATTACTATGCTTTGAAGCAGGTACACAGCAGATCTGAATAGCATGCAGACACCCTTGTACAATTTGACTCTTTCTTGAAAAGACGATAAAATAAGTGCAGTGTATAATTTCCATTCTTGAGCTTATAACACAGGAAGAATCTGAACTCTGATTAATACCTGAACATGATGCAGGCACATCAAAAATCTATGGAAGTAATTAGCTGGCTAGAATATGACTTCCAAGTGAACATTATAAATTAGTCACATATACAAATACATGCCATGTGTCTTACTTTGAGGGGCATCCAAGTAAATGAGAATTGTATCATGGAATGTTGCCATCAGACATGCAGAAAAATGCACTACGGTTGTTTGACAAAATAATTTCCTTTAACAAAGTGGAAATTACTATGGATAAATGTAAACATATACATACCGATGCCCCTTTGGGACCTGGAGCACCTGGCAGACCATCCTTTCCTGGTCTTCCTTCTCTACCAGGAGTACCTGGAAGACCAGGGAAACCAGGATTTCCTTTATCACCTTTTAAGTTAGGGTCAAAGAAAACATCTCCAGGTTCTCCTTTTGCTCCTGGGCTTCCAATCAATCCAGAATCACCTGGGGTCCCCTGAAATTGCATTCAGGCAGAGCATCATTAAATAATTTATCAAATATAACTAAAATGTTAGTAAGAATAACTTCCCTGCAATAGCCTCTAGTTTGAGTGCTTTATATTCAAGTGAGAAATAAAGAATTGTCGATATTTTTAGTGATTTTTGTACCCATGGCTATGAACAAATGCTGAACTGTAAATTTCCAGTGATTTTCAAGGGGCTGGAGTGTCAATTTTTAGGGACAGACAGTGCATATTCAGTCAGTGCACATCTAATGGAACCAAGAATTTACTGAAATTTTAAAGGTCGTATGACACAATCCACCCTGTGATTATATCACTGCAGAACATGCAAGGGCTTATTTAACAATTCCTCCCTACCCACCCCCACACACACTCCCCACCACCACCACACGCAAAGCTCATTTACCGAGAAACCTAAATTTTCCAAGAGCAAGATGTTCAAAATGTGAGGGGAATTCCAAACAAGCATTTCTACATGTACACTCAGGTCACTTGACTTTGTTAACTGCCCAGAGAGCTTTTGGGCTATTGGGCAGCATAAAAATGAAATAAATAAAATATAGTATGAAAATGGTACCATTTGGCCTTCCAAAACATTTAAATAGGATCTAAGCTGAGGAATAAATGTATTTTTCTGACAGAATTGTTCAACACTGAAAACTTAACTACACAGAAATGCTCTCTTGCTTCTATAAATGTCTCAACTATGGTCAAAATGAATTAGACACCTAGGGAACCCTCTTAATGAAAGTGGGTAATTAATGGAAAGATACCCATGAAATTTGCTTTCTGGCAGCAAGGAAACTGCTCACAAAATACAAGGATCAGGTTTTAATAAATAAAAGAAATATGATTTTGCTTAAATATTATCTCTCTTTAATTTCTGCATTTCAGCATTTCAGCATGGTCATCATAACCGAAAAGACAAACATGGATTGGTCAATTATACGGCCTCTAGGCATAGTCTGAGGACCAACTGGATATTTTGGATTCCTAGATCTAATGACAGAGGCCACACTCCAAATTTAACTAATTCCCTTCTCTTGCAATTGCCATGGAAAGAACTGTGCCAGCTGCTCCCCATGGAACAAGGTAAAAGTGGTAGAACCTGTGGACAAGGTAGTGGGGAGAACTACTGAAGCTAGGATACAAGGTGCCCTGAAGCCACTCCAGCCTTCTTCCTTCCCCTTCTGAAACCCCCTGCTTACAAGGTTAAAGCAGCACATGTAGTGAAAATGCAGGATGTACTTTAACATTCAGAGTTGGTGCGTCCTGGATATGACTAGTTACCATTATAAGGAAAGCAGTCTTATCCTCACCAATACTGAAGTCTCCTATCATTCCTATCTGCTGGGCTCTTCCAAGCAGGATGGAAATGAAGAGGGATATGGCATCCCTTCCCCTCCTCTGCAGTAGCTTACAGTTAAAAATGGTAAATGTTGTGGGGAATGCGGACGAAAAATCTCTCCCTGTGCCCTTGGGAAGGGAAATCTGCTATATTTGCTGGCTCTGGGTCATCTAAGGATGGCTCTCAAATATATTTTACAGTATGTGATTTGCTGCTAAAAATGGGTGTGAAATGTTTTGGTTGGGTTACTTACTGCCATTCCAGGAATACCAGGAAATCCAGGTGCTCCCCTGTCACCTTTAGCACCAGGTAGTCCAGTAATACCTTTTAAGGAATACAAATGATGAAATTTAACTTACAGTTAAGCAGTTCTCTTAATACTTTTCATGGCATTTGTTCCTGTATAATTCCAAGGAGATTCATTACAATGTATCTTTCTTTTAAAAGACATAACTTATTTGCAGGAATAGCCTTCAAAAGTGTTTAAAGTCTAATAATGCTTTTTTAAACAACAACAGGAGTTTCTTTGAATGCTATACTTGAACTACCATGATGCAGTGCTTGGAGAGCAGCATCTGCTTCCCAGATTAAGAATGGATATAAAGATGTTTTGGTAATGTTGCAGCATTGGTGTGAGTGAAGAATCAGCCTCACTGATGTTCCCTACATTTTTAAAAAGTTTACATAACCATTTCAAAACTAGAAGAAAAGATAAAACAAAAATTAATGGTAATGAAACAGTGCAGAGATTCTGTGTGTTATTGTTATATGTGCTGTTAAGACATCTTTAACTTATACTGACCTCCAAAATGTCCTTCATGGATCACTTCATGGATCATTGCCTTGTTGTGGCAAAGGGGCTTGCATAGCTCAATGAAGCTATGAGCTATGCCGGGCAGGGCTACCCAAGATGGACAGGTCATAGCAGAGAGCTCTGACAAAACGTGATCCACTGGGGAAGGAAATGGTAACACACTCCAGTATCCTTGCCATGAAAACCCCATGGAAGTACCAAAAGGCAAAGAGATATGACGCCGGAAGATGAGCCCCTCAGGTTGGAAGGCGTCCAATATGCTACTGGGGAAGAGCAGAGGGCTAGTACTAGTAGCGCCACAAAGAATGAAGCGACTGGGTCAAATCTGAAAGGACACTCAGTTGCAGATGTATCTGGTGGTGAAAGGAGAGTCTGATGCTGTAAAGATCTATATTCCATAGGAACCTGGAATGTAAGATATATAAGGTAAGCTGGACGTGGTCAAACAAGAGATGACAAGACTGAACATCAACATCTTAGGAATCAGTGAACTAAAATGGACAGGAATGGGGGAATTTAATTCAGATGACCATCAGGTATACTACTGCGGGCAAGAATCCCTCAGAAGAAATGGAGTAGCCTTCATAGTCAATAAAAGAGTAGGAAAAGCAGTACTGGGATACAATCTCCAAAATGACAGAATGATCTCAGTTCAAATCGAAGGCAAACCATTCAACATCACAGAAGTCCAAGTCTATGCCCCAACCACTGGTGCTGAAGAGGCTGAAGTTGACCGGTTCTATGAAGGCCTACAACACCTTCTAGAATTAACACCAAAAAATGATGTCCTTATCATCATGGGGGATTGGAATGCTAAATAGGAAGCCAAAAGATCACTGGAATAACAGGCAAGTTTGGCCTTGGAGTACAGAATGAAGCAGGGCACAGGCTGGTAGAATTTTTTCAAGAGAATACGATGGTCATAGCAAACACTCTTTTCCAACAACCCACGAGACGACTCTACACGTGGACATCACCAGATGGTTAACACAGAAATCAGATTGACTATGTGCTCTGCAGCCAAAGATGGAGAAGCTCTATACAGTCATTAAAAACAAGACCAGGAGCTGACTGTGGCTCAGATCATGAGCTTCTTGTTGCAAAATTTAGACTAAAACTGAAGAAAGTAGGGAAAAGCATTAGGCCACTCAGGTATGACCTAAATCATATCCCTGATGAATATACAGTAAAGGTTACAAATAGATTTAAGGAATTAGATCTGATACTCAGAGTGCCTGAAGAACTATGGATGGAGGTTTGCAACATTGTACAAGAGGTAGCAACTAAAACCATCCCAAAGAAAAAGAAAGCAAAATGGCTGTCTGAGGAAGCTTTACAAATAGCTGAGGAAAGAAGGGAAGCAAAAGGCAAGGCAGAAAGATACACCCAACTGAATGCAGAATGCTAGAGAATAGCTAGAAGAGATATGAATGCCTTCTTCAATGAACAGTGCAAAGAAACAGAAGAAAACAATAGAATAGGGAGGACCAGAGATCTCTTCAAGAAAATTGGAGATATGAAGGGAACGTTTCATGCAAAGATGGGCATGATAAAGGACCAAAATGGCAGGAACCTAACAGAGGCAGAAGAGATTAAGAAGAGGTGGCAGGATTACACAGAAGAACTATACAAGAAAGAGCTTAACATCCCTGATAACCACAGTATTCTAGCTGAGCTATTCAAAATCTTAAAAGACAATACAGTAAAAGTGCTATATTCAATATGCCAGCAAATTTGGAAAACTCAACAGTGGCCACAGGATTGGAAAAGGTCAGTTTACATTCTGATCCCAAAGAAGGGCAATGCCAAAGAATGTTCAAACTACTGCAACATTGCACTCATTTCACATGCTAGCAAAGGTATGCTCACAATCCTACAAGCTAGGCTCCACCAGTATGTGGACCGAGAACTACCAGAAGTACAGCCAGGATTCCGAAGAGGCAGAGGAACTAGAGTTCAAATTGCCAACATACGCTGGATCATGGAGAAGGCTAGGGAGTTCCAGAAATACATCTGCTTCATTGACTATGCTAAAGTCTTTGATTGTGTGGATCACAACAAATTGTGGCAAGTTCTTAAAGAGATGGGAGTACCAGACCATCTTATTTGTCTCTTGAGAAACCTTTATGTAGGTCAAGAAGCAACAGTTAGAACTGGGCATGGAACCACTGATTGGTTCAAAATTGAGGAAGGAGTTCGGCAAGGCTGTATACTGTCGCCCTGCCTATTTAACTTATATGCAGAGCACATCATGAGAAAGGCGGGCCTAGATGAATCACCAGTTGGAATTAAGATTGCTGGGAGGAATATCAACAACCTCAGACATGCAGATGACACCACTCTCATGGCAGAAAGTGAAGAGGAACTAAAGAGCCTCTTGATAAGGCTGAAGGAGGAGAGCGCAAAAGTTGGCTTGAAACTCAGCATCAAGAAAACTAAGATCATGGTATCCGGTCCTCTCACTTCCTGGCAAATAGATGGGGAAGGAATTTTATTTTACTGGGCTCCAAGATCACCACAGATGGGGACTGCAGCCAAGAAATTAAAAGACGCTTGCTTCTGGGGAGGAAAGCTATGGCAAATCTAGACAGTGTACTAAAAAGCAGACATCACCCTGCCAACAAAAGTGTGTATAGTCAAGGTGATGGTTTTCCCAGTTACAATATATGGCTGTGAAAGCTGGACCGTAAGGAAGGCTGAACACCGAAGAATTGAGGCCTTTGAATTGTGGTGCTGGCGGAGACTCCTGTGAATCCCTTGGACAGCAAGGTGATCAAACCAGTCAGTCTTAGAGGAGATCAACCCTGACTGCTCTTTAGAAGGCCAGATCCTGAAATGAAACTCAAATACTTTGGCCACCTAATGAGAAGGAAGGACTCCTTGGAGAAGAACCTAATGCTGGGAATGATAGATGGCAAAAAAAGAAGGGGATGGCACAGGATGAGGTGGCTAGATGGAGTCACTGAAGCAGTTGGTGTGAGCTTAAGTGGATTCCAGGGGATGGGGGAGGACAGGAAGGCCTGGAGGAATGTTGTCCATGGGGTCGTGATTGGTTGGACACGACTTTGCGACTAACAACAACAACAACAACAAAATATCCCATTCTTGACAGCCCTTCTCAGGTCTTGTAAATTCATGGCTGTGGCTTCCTGTACGTAAATAATCTATCCCCTAGTTGGTTGTCCTCTTCTTCTGTCCTTGACTTTCCTTAGCAAGATGTCTTCTTCTATGAGAATTGCCTTCATATGATGTGCCCTAAGTAAAACAACCTCATTTTTGTTTCTAGGGCAAGTTTTGGATTGAGTAGACCTACGACCCACTTTTGTCAATCCAGGGTATTAGCAAAGCTTAAATCTAACACCATGTTTCAAATGAATCAACCCTCTTCTTGACAGCTTTCTTCACTATCCAGCTTCTCCACCTATATGTATGAACAGGAATAACATAGTGTGGATGATTTTGGCCTTGGTCTCCAGTGAAAGTACTTATATTTGATGGTCTTTCCTAGTTCCCTCATTGCTGGAGAGAGAGGAAAGAATTCCCAGTTCTCCCATCAGAAAGAGGCAAGGCTAAATGAGTGCAAGTGAGTGCTTGGAGAGAGGAGCTCGCATCCTCCCTGACCAGCCTGGAAAGAGCAGGAATGTCTTGAAAATGGCAGAATGCAGTTAATATAAAATGGCAATTTATAACATTAAGGATGAGATCTGTGAAGCAAAAGATATAAGGGAACTAGGTGAAACTGTCTACATAGTCCTGTCTCCCTCACATATGTCATTCAGAAGGCTAAAACAATGCTTTCATTTGTAGTTTGATTTAGTAAATAGAAAAAATAATTGGGACTCATTGAGCAAAGCATTTTCTATATGAGCAAGATACCACTGGGCACCTCCTGGATACCCCAGTCAAGCCACTGCCAGTATGAAACAGCTCACTGAAACTGCAGTCAATGGGGAAAGCCCTTTCACAGTCTGTCTGCATAGCTGTTGAATCACCTCTGCTAAGCTGGAAAGGCATGGCATGCAGTTGGATGGGTAACCACATGCAAAAGCTGAGCAGGGAGTTGGACTCAATGGCCTTATAGGCCCCTTCCCACTCTACTACTATACTCGTCTTTTTTATATGTAGCAATGAAGCAATTTGATATATAGAATAATAGGAAAATGGTGACTGGGTTCTCATGACGAAATAGTTTACTGTGGTGGATGTATTATCCAAAACTCTCCCCAAAGGGTGGTTTATGAGTCAGTCTGCCTTGTTCTAGGATTTAATCAATCCATTGTGTTATCCAAACCTGCACAACAAAGCAAGCCACGGGCAGCTGAAAAAACACAAGGGCTTCTTCGCTTGCTGCTCTGGCTAAGGAGTAGTGGGCAACCATTTTCTGCAGCCAGCTGCAAATGCCAAAGTAGCACTTGGCAACAACTGGGAAAGGCTTCCTCCATCAACTGCAGCCTCAGCAAGCTGTTTCATGTTGGCAGTGGCTTGACTTTATTTTTCTCAGAATGTGCTTGTGGGGTGGGGGATTGCCCATGATTTCCCAGTTGTTGTTGCTGTTTTTTAATTTAATGTTTGATACTGAGTGTGATCAGGTGGAATCAGTATCAGAAGCTTAAAAACAACAACAACAACGCTTAAGCTGTCATTTGAACCAAGGAGATCAGGACTGGTCTCTTTAGGGCAACACTGACAGATGGGAGATACTGGGCAGGCTGGAGGTCTCCTGCCCAAATCCAGAAGGTGCCCACCCCAGCTAGCCCAGCGCCTACACTCTTACCCCCACTTGCATGAAGCCTTGTTGTCATAGCAAAGTTGCAAACAAACCTACAGGAGATTGTGATTTGCAGAACTTTTCACAATGGTGCTGTTTCTCCCATTTTGCAGCATGATCCCCTGCTTGCTTTGGGGAAGACCAGTTTCCCCAGGTGGCCCACAACTGTTTACAGCCTACCCCACTGCTAATAGCAGGAAGGTACTTCAAAACTTGGCAAAATCCCAACACAAGAAAGTAGGATTTGTCTTTAAATGACACAGCTTGCACACAAGGAATTCCCTCCAGTTTTGCACTTCCTGAGGTGCTATCAACTCAGGATAAATAGCAAACTGAAGGGACAGCTGGGACCTCCTAGAACCGCCCAAAAACCCTAGAGAGGGAAGAGGACACCCCCCCCCTCCCTAACCCACCCTTTTATGCAGATCCTTAGCTTTGCAGGGTACATGCCACTTTCACAATCTGAAAGTCAAGTTATGGCCAGTATGAAATAGTTTGCTCATGCTCAGGGGACACCTTGCTGCTCCTGCAGTGTTCTCTGGTTACTGCAGCAGGCCCAAGGCTGGGAGCAGGGGGAGAAGGGGGGAGGGAAGAAAAAACACAAGCCCTTGCTGTGACTGATTGTCAGTGCATGAGTAAAATTCCCAGGGGTGTTGTGCAGATCTGCCCAGTGACCAGTTAAGTGACTATTTTGTACTTTACCTGGTTCTCCTGGAAGCCCTTGGGGGCCTGGTGATCCAGGAAGGCCAGGTACATCACAAGTAAAGCAGCCTTCACCTTTTGCACCTATGTTAAAATACAGAGATGGTTAAAGAGTTTCTGGGTGATACTCCTGCTTTGTAACGGGAAAAATAAATCCTTCATTTAAGAAACATGAAGGTTATACCACACATTTAATAGTATTATTTATTTAATTAATTTCTAGATCACCGAATAAACCAGGCTTTCTGAGTGGTTTATTCAGAAACACAAATGCAAGCACAAATACAAATAAAACAGTGTAACATTGCACCAGAATAGTAGCTATTTTAATTAAAGAGTCTAACTGACATAGTGAAAATCAGATTTATACAAACTGTTACTCATTTGCAACAGTTTTTCTAGGGTTTGAATTTAAAATGTTCATCATTTGTCCATTTTGACTTATAAGCGCACCCTCAGTGGGTCCATGCAGTTTGGTTCTTTGGCTTTTTGAAGTCAAGAAAGTGTGTGAAAGTGGAGGACTAACCTATGGGACAAAGAATGTAGTAGATTTGGCTGGAAATAACATGCCTATGCAGGGGTGCTCCCTGTTGGTTCACAGAAGGGATGAGAAAGTGCTGGATGTGTGAGTGGCTGCCTTTGTTTGCCTCTGCATGAATTGTGAAACCCTGTGCCAGGGTGGGCAGCCACATGGGTAGTGGAAGTGCATCTGTCCTTGGATGCAGCAATAAGGTCCTAATGCTGTCTTTCCTTAGGCATCATTTTCTCATCTATTTACACAGACATTGTGCTTAAGTCTTAGGAGAGACAACAGCAGAAAGAGGTGCATCATTCCAACTGATTCAGGAGTGGCTTTTGGACAATCTTTTCTTGCTGGATAGGATGAGGGCACTCTGGGAATGTGAGAACTTAATATAGTTCTATTGTCACAGTCAGATCACTGTCTAGTTGGGCTTAGGCTTGGGTAAAACTTCACAGGAATGAGGGAGCATTAGAATGGTATACTTGATAAGATGAGGGAAATCTATCTACGTATCTATCTATCTATGTTTATTTCCCACCTTTTTTCCTCTCAAGGAAGTTGGTTGCATAATTCTCCTTCTCCTCTCAATCTTATTTTTACAACAACAAACCTGTGAGGTAAGTTGGACTGAGAGTCTATGACTGGCCCAAAGCCACTCAATTTGCTCCATGGCTGAGTGGGGACTAGAATCCAGATCTTTTAACCACTGAGGTACACTGGCTCCATTTTCTGATGGCTTTTAGTAATGCTCCTGTCATAAGGTAGTACTTCAGTTCAAGACCTGGTAATCCTCTGAAATGGAGAAATGGCCTGTTTGGTTGATATGTCCTCTTCCTGGGGATGGAATTAAGTTGGTGGTCTAGGGAGAACACTGGAGGAAGGCTATTAGCCAAGTTAACTGCTTGTAGCTTCTTTAAATAGTAACTGGTTCTGCGTCAGACTCCAAAAAAGTCAGAATTGGTGCCATTCCAGTGTCCATGAGGAGAGTCTCTGCCACTGTTCCCTGCCTACCCTGTGGCAAATGGAGCTACAGTGCCAGCTTAGGGTAGCAACAATGCAAGCAGCTGGGTAATAGGCCCAAGATGTTGGGACTTGGCCGATTCAAACGCCCAAGCTAGAGACCTGCCACAAGAGATGTAGGACCCACCACAAAAATAATCTTTGGCTAATACCCTGTCCCTAGATAAATGTTGATGAGAGAAGCAGGCTTATCTCCCTTTTTGTGGTCACTGTGAAAATGACTGCTTCATTGTCATAGGCAGACCTGGTCTGGGAGGCTAGATGGACAACTACTCCCTCTGAAGGAGCAACAGAAGTTTTTAGATCCTGCCTTCTGACAAGGGGAAGAGTCTTCCCAAAGATTCTAAAATCCCCCCACCATCAAGGGAGAATTTCACTTGAAACTCACTTTTTGTTTTAATGAAAGGCTGTCCTGCTCTACATTTTCTGATCAACTAATTATGAAAAATTCAAAACCAAAGATAACATTACCTTTTTCTCCCCTCTCTCCCAAGAAGCCACGCTGCCCAGGAGGGCCTGGAGGGCCTGGATCACCAGGTTGGCCAGGCTGACATGCCTGCATTTCATCTGAAATTTGAGTAAAAGTAAATTATTTCTAATGATCAGATTCCAGTTCAAAGAAATCTATGTTAATGATCACCACAAATAAGTAGTAGTACTGAGCCATGCCATCAAGAATATCAACTCCTATAACACCAATTCACATATTATTCTCCAAAACCCAACAACCTGCAGAACTGGAGAAATATAATATATGAAAATGCTACATCAGAGATATGTGTATATACATGCCTATGATTGGGATGGCTGAGGAAAAAATATTCCTCATTCAAAAGAATTCAAAAGACACTTCTCAATGAAATCAGGGACATTCATGTGTCAGAAGATGTGATAAGACCATCTTTATATTGCCAAAAGCATTATGAGAAGCAGATGTTAAAGATACCCATACAAGTAAATTATTTAAAAATATATCTAGAAACATTTAAAATAATCAGGAATTATGCAAAAGTACTAATGCATACACTGAAATAATCTAAGAGACTATTCCTGCTTTATATATTTGCTTGGAAAACTGGGTTACCTTGCTCATGGCATACTGGAGTCAAAAGAATATGAGCAGCTTCAATGTAAGATTATATCCACAGATTCAGTTTTTCATTCAATAAATATGTTTATTCCCATATCATATCCCATATTTTTCCCATTTATAGCAGGACTATTTGTGTGGGAATACACCTGTTCCCAAAAACACACAGCTAAATATTTGAACGGTGGAAAAAGGAATATTTATTATATCCATGTATTATGGGTCTGGGATCTGAGGCAGTGGGGATAATCTGCATAAACCTGTGGGATTCTCGGAAGTGATAGGAGGTCACCCCAAGCAGCAGAGAAGTCAGACTTCAACTGACTAGCTCAAGCTCAGTTTTGTTACAAGAAGGTTTACCAGTGACATATTCTTTTATCCTTATGGAATTTGCCAAAAGCCCTTTGGAAGTCCAAGTAAACAATGTCTGCTGGATTACCCCTGTCTACATGCTTACTGACACTCTCAAAGAACTCCAGTAGGTTAGTGAGATAAGATTTCCCCTTGTGGAAGCCATGCTGATTTTTTTTCCAGCAGGCTTTTTCCCTCTACATACTTACTGTTTGTATCTCAAATAATGCTTTCAAGAAGTTTACAAAGAACAGGTGTTAAGCTAACTGGCCTGTAATTTCCTGGATCCCCCCGGATCATCTTTTAAAAATTGGTATGAAATTGGCCATTCTCCAATCTTCTGGTACAAGGGCCAATATTAAATACTTTGGTAAGAAATTTAATATTTGAATTCTTTGAGAACTGTAGGATGGATACTATGTAGACTGGGTGACTCTCTGACTTTCAGTTTGTCAATAAGTTTTCATCTTTTGTCACTACTGACCTAATTCGTCAGACATCCTTCCAGAATGCATAAGCTCAGGGGCAGGTATCTGTTCTGCATCCTCTGCTGTGAAGACTGATGAAAGGAATTCATTCAGCTTCTCTGCAATCTCCTTATTCTCCTTATTGATCCTTTAATTCCATTATCGTCCAATGGCCAATTGGTTTCTTAGCCACCTTATTTTGATATATTTAAAAAAATATTTATGGTTAGCCTTGAAGTTGTTGGCAATGTGCTCCTCAAACTGCTTCCATGCGTCTCTGATTTTCTGCTTGCGTCTTCCTTGTGCAAGCTTAAGGTCCCATCTGTTGTTTTTTTTTTTCATTTGGTCAAGACTTTCTTCTTGATTCTATGCATTAACCACTCTGGTGATTTCCTGAACTTTGTTCTATCTTTCTTCACTTGTGGTATGCATATTATCTGTGCCTCCATTACAGTGTTTCTGAGTAATCTCTGAGAGCTTTGAAATAATTTAAATTTCTTAATTCTTCTCTTCAGCATCTTCTTTACCAGTTGCCTCATTTTTAGAAGTTTCCTCTTTTGAAATCAAACACAACTGTGTTTGATGTCTTTGGCAGTCTTCTGCCTAATTGTATATTAAATCTGATACCAGCATGGTCATTGTTACCTAATGACTTGACAACATTTATATCCTAGCTTACTACCTCTAAGAATGTGCCCTGTATATTCTCACTTCAAGGCTACTAGGATTAAAACAGTGCTCTTAGTTAGACAAAACATAGATTTATGCTTAGATTAGAAGCAACTGCTCAGATGCATGGTATCTATACAGTAATGTAAGAAATCAAATACTCTTCATTATGGAACCAATCGGTCAAAAGACATTTTACTTTGATGATACATTTCATTTAAAACCAAATCTATTTAATATTTCTTTTTTCTCTGATATTCTGACCAAGCACTGCCATTTTCTTATCTTAGATCTTTTTTAACATTAAAAAATAACTTGCCTGTTACAATAGCAGGGCCTGGAGGTCCTGGTATACCACGAGGCCCTGGTAATCCATCATTTCCTTTTGCACCAGACAGAGAATGTCCAGGAGGGCCACGGTCACCCTTTTCTCCTCTCTCACCAGGAAAACCAGGTGCCCCTATTAATCCTGGACTTGGTTGCCCTTGATTATGATCATGCAGCAAAGCAGACATCAGTTAAAAACAAAACAAAAAAGATTGACAAATAGATTATTTAACAACAACAACAACAACAAAGACAAGAAGAGTCAAAACTAATATGCCATCTTGAAACTTCCCTTAAACCTACCAAATGAATTCAAGCAATAGTAAGAAGGCTTATTTATCAAAGCTATTGTTAGGTCTAGTTCACAGAAACATCCAGTTGTATGGTGTGTACTTCATGTGGAGTGTACTCCCTGTGGTAAGTCATTTCACACAGGTGGGCAACATTCATTATTTATTTATTTAAAACATTTCTATGCCGCCCCATCGCAACAAAGTCTCGGGGCGGCTCACAAAAAATACAAAAAAAAAAAAAATTAAAATTAAAACCCCAGTGCATTCTCGGCTAATTTAAAATCCTAATAAATACAATAATTTAGCAATTAAAATAAGTTTTAAATAAAAAGGTCTTAGCCTGGCGCTGAAAAACAAATAATGACGGCACCAGGCAGACCTCTCTGGGGAGCGCATTCCATAGATGGGGCGCCACCACAGAGAAAGCCCTCCTCCTGGTACTCACCCTCCTAATATCATTCACAGAGGGTTCCCAGAGAACGGCATCCATTGCTGATCTCAATTATGCTGAGTACATGCACCCCTCAAAACTGGCCATGATTTGGTGGCTTATCAGCAGAGGCAGCAACTAAACCCCTACATTTTTTTCTTTAAAACAAGGTGTTCACCCATTAGCACCAAATTTGGGAGTGCAGCAGCACTCTGGCCAGCACATTTGTATTTGTGGTCCTTAGTGGGTTTTGAGTGGGGGACTGACCCAAGTTCCTTGGATGCCCCCCCCCCCCATGGCATAGAGTGACTCCCATATGGATCCTGAAATCATCACACCCCCACATGCTGGCAAAGAACATTTTGCAGAGAAGCTTTATGGTAAAGTAAACCACTGCACCCAATAGATTGCCATACACAGTAGTGTGATCTCAGGTGATCACCAAACCACAGTTGGTTTGCGTGAAAGATTCCTCAGATAGGAGCTTTGAAATGATAGCAAAGAAGAGAGCCAGATGACTGACAGTGCTGATTTAATATTACAGTGCTATATGTTATAACATATGCATTTTTTTAAATCTAAAATTCTACTATGTCTAAAATCCGATTACACTATTCTGCTTGGACAGTTAGGGAAAGATGGCGAATGTCTCACAATTAAGATCTCAAGACTGCCAGAAATGGAAAATTTAATGAGAAATCAGAAAACCAGGGACTTCCGGTTTACGTCGCGGTGTGATCGGCAGCGAAGACAGGAGCTTCGTGCTTCGCACCGAAATCCGTTCACCAGGGGCTGTAAAAAAGCCCAATCACGCGAAGGTGGGGTGAATGGTACGGTATTCTCTCCGGCTAGATTTGGGAGGCGGCGGCCCCCCTTATTTGCCGGGGTAACCCGTCTTTCCACGGTGAACAGAATGAGAGGGAGTTCACTCCCTTGCTAGCCGTAGGCTCCCGGCCAAACATCAAAGAAAAGCTTTTAACTGAACTTCAGACCTACTGGGTGAGACCCTTGCCATTTCCTAAATTCGAGCCCTTAAAGGAAACGCTGGGAATAGGCATTAATTCAGATGAAAGAGCCCTATTTCAATGGAGGAGGAATATCTCCCCCGCCCCCTCAGACTTTAAGCGGTGACAGATCTGGGGCGATTAACCGAGAAAGCACAATGTTATAAATCCTGGAGAATAAAAACTACGTTAACCTCCCCAAGGGCAAAGATTTAAATCTTGAAACCTACTGTAAATCATCTGAAGAAAAAGTCCGTTGTTTTGGTTTGTTTTCACTTTCTTTTTCGGCTTTATGGTGACCTGAGCATTTCTGGTCATTGTTTAAGAGAATTGAAGGCACTAGATACCTATATGACTCTCTGCTGCCACCTTGTGATGAATTTGTTTTACAGCAGAGTCTCTAAATTAATTTTTTAATATTAACCCTTTAGCTGCTGGACGATATGCCTAGAAGTGCCTTTGAAGTAACAATTTTTCTATCAATAATGAGAAAAACACATCCTGCACCTGCCCCCCCGGGGGGGGGCAATTGCATCTATATCTAGTCCATACCAAGCAAGACCATTGGATCTGACGACTCAACAGGAAAAAATTCAGAAGGAGATATAAACATCACTTTTAACAATTCATGACAAACTAGAAAAACTGACTTCAAACCAAAATGAAAGATGGGTTAAGCTGGATACCCACTCTGAAGCCATAAATGCTAAATTTGCTGAAATACAACAGAAAACTGAGCAGAACGAGCAAAAAATAAAAGAGGTGGAAAACAAGACTAGCAATATAGATAAGAAGACTGAAGAGATGACTAACAAAATACAACAACTATCTCAAGCAAACAAGACACTATGGGATTCAGTGGCTATATTGGAGATGGACAAGGCATCTTACTACCTGAGATTACAGACTATACCAGAGGCAAAAAATGAAGATTTAAATGACGTAATAATTACAATGTTAGCTGATGTTCTCGGCATCCAAAAGGAAAAGATGGATAAAGAAATTGACCTGATCTATAGAGTTAATTCAAGCAATGTAAGGAGACATAAACTCCCAAGAGAAGTCCACATAAAATTCATAAAAATGTCTACCAGAGAGGAGATCCTCAGAATTCTTCATGATCGACCATTAGAGAATGACCAAACTCAAATAGTGGCCTTGAAACAAATACTTTGGAGAATTAGAGAAGGACAGAAGAAATATCAATTCCTCACTTCAAAGCTAAGTGCAAAAGCAATCATGTTTAGATGGCTGACACCTGAAGGTATATTTTTTACTTGGGACACCAGAAGATACAGATTGGACTCAATTTCTAAGGCTCAAGAATTTTATGAAAATTTTAGAAGTCTACTTGAACAAGAAGCGAGAAAAAGAAAAATGGAGAAATGTAAAACTCATGGGTACTTTCAAAATCACTATAGTAGGAATGCATTGATTTCAGTTAGGGAAAAATTAAAGATAAAATCTATAATAAGAAGCCGAGATGGCTTTCTCCCATGGAAGCTTTTGTATACCCAAATGCGTTAAACTTTCAATAAGATTGTGACTTATAATGACATCTTGGACAATGAGGGAAGATTGAAACCAAATCAAGAACTTCAAGATCAGAGCATTGATCTTTCTTGGTAGCATCAAATGCAAATAAAATCGAGACATGCCAAAGATTTTAAAATGTATGGTTTCTATAAGGATCAAAATACTTTTGATCAATTATTTTAAAATCAGATGAAAAAATGATTAAAAGATTGTATAATTTTCTCTTAGAAATGAAAATGGAAGATGAACAAGTTAAAGAAACAATGATATCATGGGTACAAAACTTTGGGTATAACATTGAATTGCATAGGTGGCAAAAGTTGTGGAAAAGAAATGTTAAGATAACTTTGGCAACTTCTTATAAAGAAAACTTGTATAAAATGTTTATAGATGGTATTTATCACCAAACAAATTAGCTAATATCTTTCCAAATATGTCAACTAAGTGCTGGAAATGTAAACAGAAACCTGGTACGTTTTACCGTATGTGGTGGACTTGTGATAAAGCAAAAAAATACTGGGTTAAAATACATAGATGGTTTGGGGAAATGTTGCAAAGACCTGTAATGTTTAAACCAGAAATATTTCTGTTAGGCATTCTCCCCAACAATCTTGATAAACAAAGTATATATTTGACTTTGCATGTAATAACAGCGGTGAGGGTTACATATGAACAATGTTGGAGAAATGAAGAGCTACCAGCTGAAGATTTGATCTTGAACAAGGTACTGGACCTTGCAGAAAAGGATAGACTGACTTTATCCCTTAAGGAAAAAGAAGATACAGTTTACTACCAAACATGGGAGTTTTTCTATCAATGGCTACAGAATCGGAATTTTAATTCAGGATGAAATACATAGCATTTGTAGAGAGAAATAAGACTTTGTACACAGTATGTTTGAAGTCTTTGGAATAATTATCTGTTTAGTGAGTAGAAAACAATAAAACTTTAAAAACTGAAAAAAAAGAAGAAAACCAGAATAATTCTATACTTGAAATCACTTAAGATATCTTCTAAGTAATAAATTATTTTATAAAATACATCATCATCATCTGTTTCACTTCTAAACTGCCCAATAACCAAAGCTCTCTTGGCAGTTTCCAACAATTCCTGAACAGGATAAAGTAAAAACAACAATAAACATTTCCCATAATATAGAATTTTTAAAAATAGTTTTAAAGTTTAAAAACCATTTAGCAGCTAAAATACCTTTTATCATGGAAAAGACCTATTAAAAATAGCATTGTTCACTAAATACAACAGTAGCATTTGGGGAGAGAAAAGTTAGAAAAATTGGTATCTGAAACCAACTTATCAACTAAACAAGCAGGCATCCTTACCTGGAGGACCTGGTGGCCCTGGCAGACCCGAAAAACCTACGAAAAGAATTGCAATGAATTCTGAGGAAGTGATGGTTTCAATTGACTTTGTCGCTGATATAGCTAGCTCAAGTCATTCAGACGGCAGGCCTAAAAACCTTTCTGAATGGTTTTTCTCTATAATCACTTTCATGTCATGGCAGTAATATACTATCAAAACAGTCAAGAAATGGTTCAGCATTTATAAGTTAATCAGGAAGTCCATTAAATACAAGACTGACTGGTCTTTGAGTTCTCTATTCATCCTAAAGTGCACTAGCAAGAGCCCTGGAGCTTACAGTGGCAAACAACAGAGGCTTTTTCACCTTTCCTTTCTCCATCTGGACTGTTTTCATTAGATGGGCCTCTGAGTCTTGTAGCTCATCTACTTTGCTGCAGTTGGGGATAGGAACTGAGAGACCTGTGGATCCACTGAATACATGGGCCCTCTTCACCTATTTCCTTGCCCCCAACACACCCATTTCTTCCTCTGCTGATAGGATGCTGACCTTGGGAGTAGAAGCTGCCATAGAGCTTTCTGTGGCCACTGGGGGGGGGGGGGGGAGGATGTGAGAGGGAGCAATGCTTGCTTTGATTTTCCCCTCCAAAGTCACAGCATTGCTGATACCCTTACAGAGGAAATGTCACCATCCTCTGGTCCCTCAGATACTGTCCAGGGGACATTAAAGTGCTCTTTTTTATTTCTTAATTAAAAGAAGGTAATAACCAATTAGCAATATTCACCTTTTTGACCTGGTTCACCTTTTGCACCTGGGAGCCCTTGAGGACCTGGATCTCCTTTTTCACCTACTATAACTTCTTCACCTGGACTTATAACCTGCACAAATATGGCAAATAGCATGATATATAGAAACTGAAAAACCACAAAGCAGCCCTCATACAGATTGGAACTGTAGACTTTGATCCTACATACAGGCACTCTGCTTAAATCCTATTGATGTAAACCATGTGCAGAACTGCAGACATAATTCTCAAGCTCAGGCTTTTAAGGACTTGTTTTCAGTTCAATCCGAAACTAGTGATGCGTGAGGAAACCAGGTTGGGGGCAGGAATCAGATTTCCTCAGCTCAGCTCAGCTCCCCCATCCCCAGTCCTCTTTCTCTCTGCCCCAAGTCTGCCTTGTGCTGAGTGTTTGCATGGGCACCTGGCAGGAAGCAATCCCAAGTGAGTCCTTGAGCAACTCACCACCAGGCACCTGCTGTGCAAGTGGATTTCTGCTTCTAGGCGTTGGCTTGTGACTTGCAGACTTTGCATACTTTGTACAAAGAAGTATGCATTTTGTGTGTTTTGTGCACAGAAGGGCTCCACTAGCAGCCTGGACATTTGAAGACTTGCTTCCTGGCCAAGGCTGAGCATAGGAAAGATGTCCCGTGAGCACAAGGCAGCTGGATTCTTGCCAGATCTTCTTATTCCCATGTGAAAACAACTTCAATTATTTACATATAGCGAAGTACAACTGAATGAAAATAGTTCACATAAGAGTGAAGGCTTTTCATTCCAAGGTAGCCTGCTCCTTTACACAGAGTGGGGTGGAAGAGGTTAGGGTGAAGATGTGAAGAGGGGACCAAGGTTCCGTCTACTTGTCAGGAAGCACTTCCTGACAGTCAGGAAACCGAGAGTATGGAATGGGCTCCCACAGGAGGTGGTTGAGGCCCCATTGGTGAGGGTGTTCAAAGATAGTCTGGACATGCACATGATGGGTATCATCTGCATATCTGAGATTGTTGATATTTCTCCCAGCCATCTTAATTCCAACTGGTGATTCATCTAGCCCCACCTTTCTCATGATGTGCTCTGCATATAAGTTAAATAGGCAGGGCGACAGTATACAGCCTTGCCAAACTCCTTTCTCAATTTTGAACCAATCAGTGGTTCCGTGTCCTGTTCTCACCATTGCTTCTTGACCTGCATATAGGTTTCTCAAGAGACAAATAAGATGGTCTGGTACTCCCATGTCTTTAAGAACTTGCCACAATTTGTTGTGATCCACACAATCAAAGGCTTTAGCATAGTCAATGAAGCAGAAGTAGATGGTTTTCTGGAACTCCCTAGCTTTCTCCATGATCCAGCGTATGTTGGCAATTTGAACTCTAGTTCCTCTGCCTCTTCGAAACCCTGCCTGCAATCCTGGTAGTTCTCGGTCCACATACTGCTGGGGCCTAGCTTGTAGGATTGTGAGCATAACTTTGCTAGCGTGTGAAATGAGTGCAATGGTACGGTAGTTTGAACATTCTTTGGCACTGCCCCTCTTTGGGATCAGAATGTAAACTGACCTTTTCTAATCCTGTGGCCACTGTTGAGTTTTCCAAATTTGCTGGCATATTGAATGTAGCACTTTTACTGCATTGTTTTTTAAGATTTTGAATAGCTCAGCTGGAATACTGTCACCTCCACTAGCTTTGTTGTTGCTCTGACTTCCTAAGGCCCATTTGACTTCACATTCCAGGATGTCTGGCTTGAGGTCAGTGACCACCCCATCTTGCTTATCGGGGACATTAAGCTCTTTCTTGTATAGTTCTTCTGTGTAATCTTGCCACCTCTTCTTAATGTCTTCTGCCCCTGTTAGGTCCCTGCCATATTGGTCCTTTACCATGCCCATCTTTGCATGAAATGTTCCCTTCATATCTCCAGTTTTCTTGAAGAGATCTCTGGTCCTCCCTATTCTATTGTTTTCTTCTATTGCTTTGCATTGTTCTTTGAAGAATGCATTCTTATATCTTCTAGCTATTCTCTGGAATTCTGCAATAGTCAAGTCTGTATAGTCAAGGCTATGGTTTTCCCAGTTGCAATGTATGGTTGTGAAAACTGGACCAAAAGGAAGGCTGAGTGCCAAAGGATTGAGGCCTTTGAATTGTGGTGCTGGAGGAGACTCCTGCGAGTCCCTTGGACTGCAAGAAGATCAAACCAGTCAGTCTTAGAGGAGGTCAACCCTTACTGCTCTTTAGAAGGCCAGATACTGGAGATGAAACTCAAATACTTTGGCCACCTAATGAGAAGGAAGGACTCACTGGAGAAGAACCTAATGCTAGGAACAATTGAGGGCAAAAGAAGAAGGGGAGGGCAGAGAATGAGGTGGCTAGATGGAGTCACTGAAGTTGTTGGCGTGAGCTTAAGTGGACTCCAGGGGATGGTGGAGGACAGGAAGGCCTGGAGGAATGTTGTCCCTGGGGTCGCAATGGGACGGACACGACTTCGCGACTAACAACAACAACAACGGGATTTTCATGGCAAAAATACTGGAGTGGGTTGCCATTTTCTTCTCCAGTGGATCACGTTTTGTCAGAGCTCTCTGCTATGACCTGTCCATCTTGGGTGGCCCTGCATGGCATAGCTCATAGCTTCATTGAGCTACGCAAGTCCCTTTGCCACAACAAGGCAGTGATCCATGAAGGAGAAGAACTCCACCTCATATGGGACTCGAACCCACAATCCCTGGCTTAGGAGGCCAGTGCCTTATCCATTAGGCCACTGGGGCTCGATTTTAAGCCAATATTTCTGTTGAATTGACTAAGAACTGTATACACTTAGTCTTTTGTTCATATTATTCATACTTGGAAAGTGTATTTTTCAGAAGCATGACACAATATTAGTTATAAAGAGGTGCACCCTCAGTATCCTCAATGAAAAAGTGGTGAATCACTAGGATAATCTGTGATGTATCATTCCTCTAAATCTAAAAATACTTTGCTGTTTACGTCATGCTTCCTTTCTGACTCTTCATTCACTACAATGAATGAATGCCTGCTTCATTCCTGTGGTCATTATACTCTGCTTGAGGAATTCCTCTCAGAGGAAGAGCTAAAGTTTCCAGAAACTAAGAGGGGCTCAGATCAATCACTGACAGCTGTAGGTCCATCTCTGTCAAGGGAGGGTACACTGCCGCTGAAGCAGAGGCTGAGCAACCCCTCTGGCTACCAGCATGGCACCCTTGAGCAGGCCTGCTCACTTGCAAAAGAAGAATCCCAGGAGGAAGCTCTGGTGATAAAAGCCTTTAGCATCTGCCTAGCCAGTGCTAGAAATGGTGTTGTTCCTTCCTTTCCAGCATCTTTTACTTTGCCTTGCAATTGGTGTTATGTACCTGACACCTGGACTCAGGGATGCAGCTTTGGGAAAGCTGTTTCTCTAGTACAGTGATACTGCAGCTCACAAATGTCTCAGTTCATGACCAAATTGGGTCACGAACAGAAATTTCATAACAATTTTGCCGCAGGTTGTGAACTCTGCATCGGGGGACGATCACGAGCATGCCCACCTTCCCTGCACAGGCATGATCATGGTTGTGCTGAGGAGGGAGGAGATGGCTGCGATTGCGCCTGTGTTCCCTGCCCGAGTGCGCTCGTCCCCTCCTCCACCCACCCGCACGATCACAGGGCGGGGGGAGATGGCCACAATCTTTGTTGTTCTTTGTCACTTGCATCGAATTTTTGTGAGTAAAAAAAAAAAAATAGTTGCAGAACAGATTAACCTTAATTACATTGACCCTTATGGGGAAATTTGACTTGGCTCACAACCAATTTGGGTCACGACCAGAGTCCTGGAACGGAATAAGTTCATGAGCCAAGGTACCACTGTATATGCAGACTCTCTCCTGTGCTCATCGCTTGCTTTAGATCTGCAAATGCTCATGGAATGAAGGCCGTGCAACCAGCAACCTTCTGAGGAATCACATGCAGCAACCCAAACAAAGGCCACTTCACGTGACACGGAAGACAGATGACACCTGTGCAGCAGTCATGTGGGGCTTGAGTCCTGGTAAGTGCTGTACAAACACTTGCCAGGGAATGCTCGCCAGAAATTTGGACTCATGGCATGACACAGTGCAGCTGAGTCGAGCAGGCCAAGCCCAAGGAACCTGACAGATTCCCAGCCCCAGAATGAATTTCTTACACATCTCTACTTGGATGCTTCACTCTGCTTTTGGACTGTGTAGCACATTTGACTGCCTGATTGTGCTTTGACCTCTGTCAGCTCTCTTGACTAATCCTGCCATACCCTGACTGACACTGGACTGAAGCATGCATTGTGCTTAAACACGAGTGACTAGTGAATTGTTTTAAAGGAGGGCTCCTCAAACTTTTTCAACAGGGGGCAAGTTGAAAGGCCGTGGTGACGGGCACAGGTCGGTGAGGCGGGGGTGCCCAGGGGCGCGGGCCGGTGAGGTGGCAGTGGGTGCACGTGAGGCAGTGGCTTGCTCACTCAGAGATCTCCTAGTGAGTCCAAAACCATCTCCGAGCGAGCAAGCCTCTGCCTCTCTGCCCACGTGGCGAGGCAGCAGAGAAGGCGGCTCACTTGCTTGGAAATCTCCCAGTGAGTCCAAAACCATCTCCGAGCGAGCAGGCCACTGCCTCTCCACCCACGCAGCGAGGTGGCGGCGAGCGTGCTTGCAGGAGGTGAGCAGCGGCGGCAGCTTGCTCGGAGATCTCCCAATGAGTCTAAAACCATCTCCAAGCGAGCAAGCCACTGTCTTCCCACCCACACAGCAAGCACGAGAGGCGGTGGTGGGAGCAGGGAATCCAAAACCTCTGAGGCCGGCTGGATAAATGGGCATGGCAGGCCGGATCCAGACTGCAGGCTGTAGTTTGAGGACCCCTGCTTTAAAGTAATGAGCATACACATTCTTCTACCTCCATTCCCTGCAAACTTACTCACTACAGCTTCCTTCCAAAAATAAAGTAGCCATTAATAATCCCTGTTGCTTTATACTATACTTTATAGTCTACTATATACTTTATAGACCTGTCCTAAAGAAGGTGTCTCTGGATCCAGAGATGGCCGCCAATTATAGACCAGTGGTCAACATCCCATTTCTGGGCAAGGTGGTGGAACAGGTGGTTGCGGGACAACTCCAGGCACTCTTGGATGAAACTGATTATCTGGACCCATTTCAGTCCAGGTTCAAACCCAGTTATGGTACTGAATCTGCCTTGGTCGCCCTGTATGATGATCTGTGCAGGGAGGGAGACAGGAGGAATGTGTCCCTGTTGGTTCTCCTGGAACTCTCAGTGGCTTTCAATACCATCAGCCATGGTATCCTCCTGGAGAGCTGGGAGAAGGAGGCACTGCTTGGCAGTGGTTCCACTCCTACCTTGCCGGCTGATTTCAGGTGGTGGTGCTGGGGGACTTTGGCTCTGTGCCACGGCAACTTTGCCATGGAGTACTGCAGGGTTCCATTTTGTCCCCCTTGCTATTTAACATCTACATGAAACCGCTGGGAGAGGTCATCAGGAGGTTTGGGCTGCGGAGTCATCAGTATGCTGATTTACCTCTCTTTTTCAACTAATCCAGGTGAGGCAGTGGCTGTCCTGAACCAGTGCCTGGCCGAGGTAATGGGCTAGATGAGGGCCAATAAACTGAAGCTCAATCCAGATAAGATGGAGGTTCTGTTGGTGGGTGATTCGAGCTCCTGGGTAGGTGACTTGGGCCCTGCCTGGGACGGGGTTGCACTCCCTCTAAAGGAATGCGTCCGCAGCTTGGAAGTGCTCCTCGACCTGAAGCTGTCCTTGGAAGCCCAAGTGACAGTGGTGGTGAGGAGCGCTTTCCTTCAGCTTCGGCTAATATATCAGCTGCATCCCTACCTGGAGGAGGATTGCCTAGCAACAGTAACACACACATTGGTTACTTCCCAGTTGGATTTTTGTAATGTGCTTTACGTGGGGCTGCCCTTGAAGACAGTCCGGATACTTCAGATGGTACAAAATAGAGCTGCCAGGATGCTGTCGGGGACTGGGGGTTATTCTCATATAACCCCAGTCCTCTATCAGCTCCATTGGCTTCCCATCGAAGTCCGGGCTCAATTCAACGTGCTGGTTATTACCTATAAAGCCCTAAATGGCTTGGGACCAGGATACCTAAAGGAATGCCTTTTTCCCTATTTGCCCTCCCACCCCCTGAGATCGGCAACAGAAGCCCTCCTCCAGGAACCCTCTGTGAAAGATGTTAAGAGACAGAGTCTGGAGGAGTGCCTTCTCTGCAGTGGCGCCCCAACTATGGAATGCGCTCCCCAGAGTGGTCCGCCTGGCCCTGTCATTATATGTTTTTTGTTGCCAGGTCAAGACCTTTTTATTTAATCAATATTTTAATATGTATTAATACTAATTGGATTTTATTGTTTGTATTTTATTAATTGCAGCCAGCGTGGAATAGTCAATTTATCTATTTTATTCTGATTTATGTTGTAAGCCGTCCAGAGACGCAAGTAATGGACGGCATACACATTTTATAAGTTAATATAGAATGGCAGCAGTAGGGGGCTGAGTTAATGAATCAAACATTTCAAGAGATGTCAGCTGGAAATTGTACAGAAGCCTCTTTATGCACTTCAGAGATAAATGGGCTACATATAAAGACATCTCTTATACTTAAAGTATAAAGACTTTCTTTTAAACACAAAGTTACACTCACTATTCCTGGAAGTCCTGGAGGACCTGCTGTACCCTTATCTCCCTGGAAAAAAAAGTAATTTTCATTTTAAAACTGCCTAAAATTAAAAAAGGTAAAGCAAATATAAATTTAAAGTTAAAAAAACCCAGCCATTTTGCAGGGTGGAAGTTATAGCTTGTAGCAAAAAAAAAAAAAAAAAAAAGCGTATGAGGTCCTCTTGGTTATTTTGCATGCATGGTAGTTAGTCTCCACATCCAGCTACATTTCCATTAAGTATTTTTAAACAGTTAACAGTACAATAAGTAAAACATGGATATAAATTCTGGCTCGAAATGTTTTACAAACATAAATAATTATGTGCTTTCTTTTAAGTCAATGGAAACTATATTAATGTAATATAATCAAATATTTAGAATGGCTATACCCAAAAATATGATTTTTGTCCCAGTTCACCCAACATGTAGTTAGAACAGCTACTTCCAAGTAATTTGCTGTGTTTATTAGTTCTTCCACATAAAAGAACAACTTACAAACAAAACAATTTGAATATTCATTGCACTACTGTAGAGCATTTATGATTATGCAATACATTATCAAGTTGAATTACTGATGCTATGATTGCACTGAGTCAAAGCTATGGAAATTCACTCATCACTGTCAAATAGTTCTTTGACTTGCAAAATATAATATGCAAGTCAAATTATAAAAAAATATAAAAGTTTATGAAATTATAGACTCATTGGCTTGGAAATGACCTGTAATTCCCCATCCCCTACACACACACATTTTGAAATCATTGCGTATTTTTTGAAACAATGTCATGTTTGGATATCACCAGCTCAGGAATCCCTAAGCCCCACCCCCACCCCATTCCTTCCCTTTAAAGATTTACCAAACGTATGTGGTGATACCAGCAGCAGAACATGTGGGATCCTTCCCTGTCTTTAGTGTAATGGAACACTACGCAAAAGTCTAGTAGCCCATAAAGGAACTTCGGAGAAACCAAAAATTCTTTTGTGATTTTAAGCTGGAGAAGAATTGGGATGTTCTAAAAGCTCACTTCTTCTTCATGAACCCCCGAAGCCTGCACATGAGTTCCTCTTCTTCAAGCATCTCTAATTTAATAATACATTTTCAAATGGATCTACTTACTTTTGGGCCAGTTGTACCATGTGGTCCTGGAAATCCTGGCTTGCCAGGTTCTCCCTACAAAAATCACAGAAAAAAAAGATCACATAACATCATAAATCTGTAACATTATAACTATGTTATAAATCAGGGATGGAAAACCATCCAGCCTGCATAGTCTCCCCCTCCCCAAAGCCTTTGTCCCTTCAAAGAAAGGAGAAGGAATGGGAAAGCAGCTTCCAGTTGAGTCAGAATCTTAAAGTGATCATTGTCAGCTTTGCATTCCTCTCTCACTGGGAAAGGAATGTACCATAAAAGGCATCCGAGGAAAAAGAAGAGCAAGTGAAGCTGGCTTATCTGAGAGCTGTTGCATCAAGGATGCTCTTGAAGGGCCAGTTCTCAAAGGCTTCCCGTCTCTCTCACTTTTCTGTGTGTGTGTTTTTTAGGTATGTGTGAATGGGATGCATGGATGTCTCCAGGCAAGGACTTCAGGAGGATGGCCCTTCCCACTGTGGGCCCTCACCCCAGTAGGCTAGGCCCCATTGTCTTTGCCTAGATCCAATTTGTTTCTCAAGCTAAAAAAATTCCCCACTACTGCATTATAACTGCTCACCTACTTTTCCAATACAAATTGTCAGATGTTGTTTTTGTAGCAAGAACGTAAAGAATAAATAAATGTTATAGGTCTGTAGCTTCAAAGCAGAGATTACCAGCAATAGAATTTTAGAAGATGTACAACCAATAAAGATAAAGTGAAATACATACAGGTCTTCCCTTCTCTCCATCTTCTCCATCCTTCCCAGGTCTTCCCTGTATTATGAATTATTATGCATTATTTTAAGTTAAACCAGAAATTACAACTTTTAATGCTGAGATTACAAAATCCTGCCTTGCCACAATATTAAAACATTTAATATTTCCATGATTTCAGAAAAAAATTAGGAAAAGACTGAAAAAAAGAATGCTGGAGGGCCCAACTAGCTTTGGATTTTGAAAGGAACAGAAAGCTGCAGGTTTACACATAGAAACATACAAACAGACCGAATCAGAAGGGCTCTCCCGGGCCATCTAGTCTGACTCCCGGCTCCAGCTGGCTCTGCTTACGACATGCCCACCATGTGCATGTCCAGCCTATCTTTGAACACCCTCACCAATGGGGCCTCAACGACCTCTCATGTAAGCCCATTCCACACCGTCGGGGTCCTAACTGTCAGGAAGTGCTTCCTGGCATCTAAATGGAACCTTACTTCCCTGAGCTTTGCTCCGTTGGAGTGCGTCCTGCCTTCCTCTGCAGGATAGAACAGGTCTCTACCCATCTCCGTGCAACGTCCCCTCACACACCTGTATGACGACAATATATCCCCTCTCAGTCTCCTCTTCTCCAGGCTGAAGAGACCCAGTTCCCTCAGTCTCGCCTCATATGGCATCCCCTGCAAACCTGGTGGCCCTACGCTGCACTGACTCTAAACTGGCCGTATCCTTTCTGTAATGAGGGGCTCAAAACTGAACACATTACTCCAGTTGCGGGTGCACCAGAGTCGTATAGAGTGGTAGTAATACCTCTCTCGATCTAGAAGCCACACTTCCGACTATGCAACCAAGGGTGGCGTTTGCCCTCTTAACCACCGCATCACACTGCTGACTCATGTTTAGCCTGAAGTCAACCAGTACCCTGAGGTCCCTTTCACAAGTGCTGCTCTCCAGGCACTTGTCCCCTAACCTGTATTTATGACACCTATTCCTATGCCCCAAGTGCAAGACCTTGCAGTTATCCACATTGAACGCCATCCTGTTGTCTCCTGCCCACTTCCATAGTCTGTCCAGATCCTTTTGGAACTGGAGTAACTGCTCCTCAGTTGTGGCCACTGCTCCAGTTTTAGTATCGTCTGCGAATTTGATCAGCAGACTGTTCACCCCTTCTTCCATGTAATTTATGAAAAGATTAAACAGGATCAACCCCAGAACAAAGCCCTGGGGGACTCCGCTTATTACTGGCCGCCATCCCAATGATTCCCCACTAATGGTTACCTTCTGCTTTCGGTCAGTCAACTATGCCCTAATCCATCGGACATTGCATTGGCCTATCCCAAACTCCTCAGTTTCTCCACCAGGATATCATGGGGCACTTTGTCAAAGGCCTTGCTGAAATCCAGGTAAACCACATTCATTGCATCCGCTCCATCTAGCCATCTTGAAACCTTGTCATAGAATTCCACAAGGTTTGTCTGGCAGGACCTGTTTTTGCGGAAGCTGTGTTGTGTGGCTGCCAGTCTCCCTTCCCTATCTAGCATCACTAGATCTCTCGCTATTATGAGCCTTTCCATTGTTTTTCCTACAATGGACATAAGGCTAACTGGTCTGTAATTCCCCATGTCCTTTCTACTACCCTTTTTGAAAATTGGGACCACTGATGCCACCCCCCAGTCCTCTGGAACTTCACCCATTCTCCACGAGGTCTCAAAAATGGAGGCCAGCGGGCGTGAGAGCTCCCCTGCCAACTCTCTAAGTACTCTCGGGTGTAACCTGTCAGGACCTGGCGCCTTTGTAATGTCCAATGCCCTGAGAAGCCCCTCGACTTCAAGGGGGGTGACTCTAATCTGTGCCCCTAAGTCCCCAGCCTCATCTAATCTCCTATGCGGATATCCCCCATCCTGCTTTGGGGAGAACACAGAGGCAAAATAGTCATTTAGCATCTGTGCCTGTTCCCTCATATCAGTCACTGGATCTCCTTCCTCCTTATTCAGTGGTCCCACTACTTGTCTCCCCTTCTTCCTATTTACATGCTGAAAGAAGCCCTTTTTGTTGCTCTTGATATTCTTGGCAAGTCTCAGCTCGTAATCAGCCTTAGCCTTGCGAAGAATCCTTCTGCAATGGGCCTCCTCCTCCCGGTATACCCTTTTGTCTATTTCCCCCAGTACCCATTTCCTACGGAGGTTCCTCTTTCTTCTAATCCCTTTAACCACCTCCTTTCGCATCCATGGCGGCACTCTCCTCTGCCTCCCCACCTTACTGACTAGAAGGATCGTTAAGGCTTGCGCCTCCAAAACCTCCCTTTTGAGTGCTATCCACCCCTCCTCAACTCGCTTACCTTCCAGTAACCTATCCCAGGAGACTTTCCCCAGTCTGGCCTTCATTTGGCCAAAGTTGGCCCTCTTGAAGTCCCAGCTTCTAGTGCTTGACCTGCTGCATGTCCCTAATCCCCTGATCTCAAAGCAAAGGATGGAGTGATCACTTGCATCCAGAGCTCCCCTAATCTGTACTTCATCTATCAGTTCCTCTCTATTGGTCAAGGCCAAGTCAAGGATATTTCCCCCCATTGCCTCTTCGACCCTCTGTGTGAAAAACCTTCCCTCTATAGCTTCTAGGAAACGACGTGACCTGGTTGTCACCGCTGAGTGAGTCTCCCAACTAATATCAGGAGACTGAAATCTCCCATAATTACTGTGTCTCTCCCCCGAGACATCCTTAGAATCTGGTGTGTCAGGACATCATCCAGGGTCTCAAGTTGATCTGGAGGGCGATAACATACCCCCACTGTCAGGTCTCTTTCCCTGGCAAAACCCCTAAGTTTCACCCAGACTGCCTCTACCGAATCCCCATCTGTGCTGCATTCTATCTCACTGCATCCTATCCCTTTCCTGACATATAAAACCACGCCCCCACCCCTCTTTCCCTTCCTGTCCTTTCTAAAAAGGTGATACCCCTCTATGTTCACATTCCAGTCTTGCCTTTCATCTCACCAAGTTTCTGTGATTCGCACCAGGTCATTCCCTCCTATTCCCAGAAGAGCTTCAAGCTCTTCCTGCTTTTTAGCCATGCTCCTAGCATTAGTGTACATGTACCTCAACTCCTTCTCACCGCTTCCTTTCCTTGGAGTCCCCAGCCTCCTCCCATCCTCCCTGATACCTGGCCCCTCTCTGTAGGAGTCCTGTCAGTCCCTGCAGTACCTCTAAAACCCTACTCCCAGAGCCCTGATCCTCTCCCCACACTTGTCCAGTGCAGACACGTTTCCGGAGGGCCTGAACCCATCCCCCGCAGCTCAGTTTAAAGTCTTCCAGACGAAGCTTGCTAGAGCATCTCCAAAGGATCTTTTCCCCATCCTCGTGAGGTGCAACCTGTCCCTTGCCAGAAGTTCACTGGCAGGAAACCGTGTGCCGTGGTCAAGGAACCCGAAGCGTTCCTTCTGGCACCACACCCTAAGCCAGTCATTCACCTCAGTGACCCTCCTGTCCCTGCCATGCCCAAATCCCCAGACTGGTAAGATCGATGAGAAGGCCACTTGGGCCTTTAGCTCCCTGAGTTTCTTCCCCAAGGCCTCAAAGTCCCTGGTGATCCTGACCACACCCTGCCTGGCTACATCATTTGTGCCCACATGGATTATCAACCCAGAGAAAGTATCACGGGTTGTTTAGCTGCTCCTGTTGGAAAGAGGACCCAGATAGGAGTGACTAAGCTGTAGAGCAAGCAGACTGGCCCAGGAGTTAAAAAAGATCTTATTTGTCTTGCTTTGCACAATGAGGACACTATTTCAATAAGAAAATAATTCCACCTATGAACTTCCCTGTAGTACAATCTAAACTACCAAAAATATTCCATGTTGTTTCATTGAGATTGCTACCAGTTTCAGTAATAAATCCTAAAATGAATTGTTGCAAGCTGACCAGAACACTTCAGCCATTGGGTGGTATAGAAATAAAGTAAACAAGCCAGCAGATAAATAGCTGGATAATCAAAGCACATTATTATGCAAACATACCTGTGGACCAGATTTTCCAGGTTCACCTTTTTCCCCTTTGCTGCTTAGGCCTGGTGATCCCTTTAAAAGGATACAGATATTTTATGATGCCATTGTAAATTTTAATTTTAATCCTTTGCAAATCTAATTTTTAATATTTATTCTACAGATGCAATATATTACTTGAGAGATACTGGCTATAGAGAATTGTTATTAGAAATGTATATAAATGACATTATACATCTATGAAACATATGTAAATATATCAGACATAATGGAGGCTAAATCCCAATGTTATGCTTGTTTCAAGATGTGGCTGGACATATTAGGAAAGCTCACACAATATCGGTTGCATGACAAGAGATTAAAAACAATGGTTCACAAGAGATTAAAAACAGTGATTAAAATTTGACTAAAAACAAGTACATTAAATGCAACTAATCTGGTAAGGCCAGTCAGGAGAGATATGTCTTTCGTTCCCTCTTGAAGGTACCTATCTGGGATAGCAGACACATCTCTCCTGGTAGACCACTGCATGCTTTGTTGATAGAAGCTTATAAGCTGCTTGCTGCTACTTGTTCATGGAGAGAAACTTGGAGACTTATCTTGGAAACAAGATTACTATGTGTAAGCAACTCTGGGGAAGGAACAATGACTCTGTAGATACTTTCTGAGCAAACGGATCTATTTATCCCATACAGACCAACTGATTTAGTAGCAACAGATATTCTAACAGTCTGATGGCATGGAAAGATTGAATGTAAGGGAAGGGTTACTTTATGTTAATTCTTTCTTTAAATTATTGATATTTGTGTTACATCTTGATGGTTTCTGTACACTGATATTGGAAGCCAAAATAACAAAACTGAAGCTGTCATTTTTTGGGTACAGCATGAGAAGACAAGACATGTTGAAGAAGGCAATAGTGCTAGGGAAAGTCAAAGATAGAAGAGGAAGATCAAATATGAGATGAATCGATTGCACAAAAGATGCCACAGCCTTGAGTTTAGAAGTTAGAGTTCTAACTTCTAGAGTTTAGAGTTTAGTGTTTAGAATCCATGTAGGGTTGCCGTAAGTTGGAGAAGATTTGACAGCAACAGTGATACTGATAGACAAATAAAGACCAAGAAAAATAAGATTATAAAAGAGATATACTGGCTTTGGGATATTATAGAAGCTCCACTACAGTAGCACAACACCAGATAGATGAGTACAATAGATACACCAGCAGTTGCAATAGCAGTAAAACAAGCCAGCTGATTGGTGTAAACAGTGCTGAGTTGTGAATTTCTTTTCTATTATTTCAATATAAAAGTCGGAAATGTTGTGAGATATTATGTTTTATCTTGAAATGAATGCTTTGTAAGATGAAGATTTTTGTGACAATGTACAGCATTAACAATTCTAATTCTTGTGTAAACTGTAGAGTTCAGTGTTGCTTTGAAGGTTAACTTGGTGTTCAGATATGCTGTTAGTCTTCAGTATTAGACTGTATTAGGCTGTTTCTGCTGAAATCCAGACTGGGGAACCTCCTTGGTCCAAGGGCTGCTTTGCCTCAGTAGGACCCTGTCAGGGGCCAAATGGTAGCAGAGGGCAAGGCCAGATCCCAAGGTGGTGTGGGGTGCAAAACCAAAGTGAGCTTGGTCAGCACTGGCATGGGGTGCTAGCAACCCTACTTTTTCTCTTGCACATCTACACACACCCATTCATACCACATCCACAAATGCACTGATCAGATGGGAAGCTTAGGACAGAGGAAGTTATAGGAAGGAAATGGGAGCTGGTATCTCAAGATGAGAGCTGTGTTTCTTTTCCACACACTGTGAAATCATGTTTGATACTTCTAAAAATGATTCATTTTATTATTCAAAGTGCAGGTGGCAAAAATGTTGCCACAGGTGGCAAACTTTACATTAATATAATACCATCTTCACAAAGTATTGCTTGGAATTGAGCTGTGCTCCCTGAAAGGAGATTCTCCATTCCATACTTATTCAACATGGCTGAACAGTTTCTTTTGATGTATAAGAGTTAGAGCAAATGTCAAAATAGTGACTGCATATACTGCAGCATATTTAAACTATGATAAGTCTATAACTGCTTGAACTGTGAAAGTGGAGTCCTCTTCTCAGTGCACAGAGAAGAATACCAGTGAAGCAGCGTTTCCTTGTCCCTCACTTTTCCCACTGCAGAAATGGAAGGGCCTACTTTGGTATGCTAGATGTAGAAGCCTGATGGGCCAAATTTCACCTACTCACTAGAAGTTCCTCTCTTTTATTTACTAACACCACCACCACCACCACATTTATATCCCCTTATTTTTCCTCTTGTGAGGAACCCAGGTTGGCTTACATGGCTTCATTTTACCCTCACAATAACCCTGTCCTATAGGTTGGGCTAAGAGACTATGGCTAGCCCAAAGTCAACTAGTGAGTTTCATGACCAAGTGGGGACTAGAAATCAGATCTCCCAGGTCCCTAGTCTGCCTGATTCTCAGATGACAATAATTAAAGTTTATGTTTTTAGGTGAACAGTTGGCAAAGTCTCTCTAGTACTGGATATATTGCTTGTACAAAACTAAGTCTGTAATCCTATACACACTTAGCTGGGTGTATGCCCACTGAACTTAGTAGAGCTTATCTCTGAATAGGCATATATAAGACTCCTGAAAATATGTTCGCCATCACTTCTAGAAACAATAACAATAGAAATGGATGTATACTTACTGGAGAGCCAGGGTCACCCTTTTCACCAGGATCACCCTGTTGGAAGGAGAACACAGGAATTTTTAAGAATGGGATTTTAATGCATTTGCTTAATGACTGTTTTCACTAACTGTTTTGATTGTACAATACAAAAACAAAAGAAAAAACACACCATTAAAGGAAAAAGAACAAAATAAATTAAAACACTACAACATGAGGGCAGCAGCACACAAATCCGAGCACCTTAAGTTAGGTTTACATCAGGGATTGCAGCAAGATCTAAGGGAGGATGTAGTCTCTTAGTTCTTATATTGTCAGATGATGGATTTATTAGCCAAAGCAAAACCCTGACGTGGTTTCCCAAGCCTAAAAATAAACTCTTGCAGACAATAAGCATAAGATAATAGAATTCCAATAACCTCAGCTAGACAGGTATCATTAGAAACATAGAAACAGAGCAAGTCAAAAGAGGTCTCCCAGACCATCTAGTCTGACCCCTGGCTCTGGCCAGCTCCGCTTACAACATGCCCACCATGAGCATGTCCAGCCTATCTTTGAACACCCTCACGATGGGGCCTCAACCACCTCCCGTGGAAGCCCATTCCATACTCTGGGGTTTCTAACTGTCAGGAAGTGCTTCCTGGCATCTAAACAGAACCTTGGTTCCTTGAGCTTTGCTCCGTTGGAGCGCATCCTGCTCTCCTCGGCAGGGGAGAACAGGTCTCTACCTACCTCCGTGTGACATCCCCTCGCATACCTGTATGTCGCCAACAGATCCCCTCTGAATCTCCTCTTCTCCAGGCTGAAAAGACCCAGTTCCCTCAGTCTCGCCTCATATGGCATCCCCTGCAAACCGGCCACCAACCTTGTGGCCCTATGCTGCACTGACTTTAAGCTGGCTATATCCTTCCTGTAATGAGGGGCCCAAAACTGAACACAATATTCCAGCTGCAGGCGCACCAGAGTCGTATAGAGTGGTAGTAATACCTCTCTCGATCTAGAAGCCACACTTCTGGCTATGCAACCAAGGGTGACGCTCCATCTCTTGACCACTGCATCATGCTGCTGATTCATGGTTAGTCTGCAGTCAACCAGTACCCCGAGGTTCCTTTCACAAGTGCTGTTCTCCAGCCACTTGTCCTCTAACCTGTACATATGACACCCATTCCTATGCCTCTGTTTTATCCTGTTTTTTCTGTAGAAGGAGAGTCTGTGCTGCACTTGATCTGGAGCTGGATTTCTACACTAGATAGATGTCATAAAGGACCTTTTTAGCATTCACAGTCTTTGTTTAACCAAAATTCAGAAGGTGGATAAGATCGCTGACGTGTCACCTATTTTTCATGAGAAAAATTGGTTCAATTCGTGCATTAGATCTTGATACTATTCCAAGGGCCTAGATGCCTCACTATGCAATAAAGCTCCCTGGAGGGATTGCAGAGAATCTGAGGTAAGTAGCTTTCTCAGGTCCAATGTGACCATCTAACATGCCTGTACTCCTTCTGTTAAAGATGGTAAGGGATAATATTTATTTTCTCTTTGTAAATGTTGGCTGGGAAACTTAAGAATCAGTGCTATCAGAAGATGGTCACTATCAAATTTAGGTACAACCTCCAATTCTTCCAATGCGGGAAGCAAATTAGTTTATATTATGAAATACCCTATCTGGCTCAACAATGAAGGTAAAGTCTGCTGGATGATCCTTCCCAAACAACCCATTTGGGAATATTTAAGTTTTGCCTTGTAGTTATTTGACTCAGGAGAAGGCCCGCATAGTTAGACTTTAAATCGTTGGAGAATTGTGTGAGTGGCAGGCCATCTCATCCAGAAATTAGGAGACAGGCCCTTTGTTGTAAGTATAAAGTATAATCATCTGGACCCAATAAAGCACTGAAATCTCCCTGCCCTCCAGCAATGTGTGCATTGGGACAGGAATAAATCAGGTTTGCTACATATTGTTCAAAATCAAGTCACAGTTTCTTAGTCTGTAATTTCTGCCTTTGTGAAGGGAGATACAGTAAAACCTTGGACTGAGAGTAACTTGGTCTGCGAGTGTTTTGCAAGACAAGCAAAAACTGTTTCTAAATTTTAACTTGATAAATGAGAGATGTCTTGCAGTATGAGTATTATGTGCATGTTGCCTGCCAAGCATCACGTCACAACTGAGTGCCGGTTCTTCTCTCTCTTGCTGTGGGTGTGAGTACAGCATTGTCTCTCCCCTCCCCCCCCGAAGCGTGCCTGTGATCGCACCCACCTCTCCCCGAGTGCACCCGCTTCAAATTTTTGTGATTAAAAAAAAAGTTACAGAATGTTAACCTTATTTACATTGAACCTTATGGGGAAATTCGCTTTGATATGCAAGTGCTTTGGATTACAAGCATGTTTCCAGAACAAATTATGCTCGCAATCCAAATATTTACTGTATATGTTAATTACCAGCAATTCACCTTGGGTAAGTTGAACCAGGGCAGACATTGCATATTACTTATGCATCATAAACCACCTCACAGTTGCACACAAAGAAGTGGCAATCAACACAGCCAAACTTCCTTTACAACTGTCATGACCTGCCCTGGGAGTTGCCCCAAGAGAATATGAATGGAAACCATTAAGTGTTAAATTTCTGGGTATTCAGGTCTCTTGCAGCAATATTATATCATTACTAACTAAGTATTTTTTCAAAGCCAAATCCAGGGAGGGACCAGCCAGCCATTTATATTCTACTTTATAATCCCAATTCCATTTTTATACTGGTCTGTTAGATATCATTGAGTGCCTGTATGTTCATTTCCTATAATTTGAGAATCTTCAAAGTCCTCCAGTCCTTCAGGTAATAAGCCTGAAGTCCTCACTGGCAGGTGCACACGCAGATTCAGCACATTCTTACTCAACAATGAAGTGTCTAGTGTCTTCAAAGCATCCGCATTCGGTGGATGGCTAGGGTTTGTTGCTACAGATGATACTTCGTAAATTTCCAGATTAATGCGCCCATCTGCTTCTAAGCTGACATTGGTTACAGCACTGACCTGGGCACATGTTGGAGTGTGCAAGTCTCCTGCAGCTCCTATGTCACAAGTCTGTATCATCTGTGACAAAGGAAGGTCTTGAGTTATATCTTTTGCATCTGTGGATATCTGTTGCTAATTCTCATCCAAAAGAGGAGTCCTTGAAGTAATCTTCTCTTTCTCTTGTTCTATTGTCATCCTTGTCAAATTCTCAAATTCTCACCATCATCACCATGGTCATTGGAAATTGACAAAGTGCTAGGCAAGGGCAGCACATCCAGAACAAGAGTGGCTGTTATATTATTGTAATATAAATTGGTAACTAAGATTCTTCCTAGGTGAATGCCCATTCTCCCGGTAGCCTCTAAATCCTCCCAGCTAAATACAAGTGGGAAGGAGGGCCCAGAAGTGGCTCACCAATGGCCTTGCCAGTCTCACTAACTCCATATCAAGCTCTAAGCCCATAGCTGAATCCTCTGGGTTGAATGTCTTTTGGTGGGTGGGCTTAACCACCTACTAACTTCTAAATCTGAAATACCACCTTTGGGCTTCAAGTCAAATTCCATACTGTCCAGTCTATGTTTGGCTTCAAGAGCTTGTCTGATTTGTTTTTACAGCAATCAGGCTGTCATTTCCAGAGAGTTGATTGTTAGCCCACTCAATGCCTCAGAGTGGTGGGAACTTATCGTGCCTTATAGGGTTGAACTCCCTCTCATCTTTCTGAGATTCCAACAAGATATTGCAGCCCTGACTAGAGCATCCAGTTTTAATTAGAGATCTGATTGCCAGGACTTGGAAGACATTCTGGAGCGTTATATCAAATCCTTTCAGTTGCTGTCCCAAAAGAAAAGGCTGAGAAAGTACAGTTGTTGAAGTCCAAAAAATAGTATATTATATTCCCTTTGAGATGGTAAAACATGGAACTGCTTTATTTCAGAGTGGACTATGTGGCAGCACAGAAGTTCTGCAAGGGAGGTACAAATCCATTTTTTGTTCGACAAAAGATATGCATCCTTTCTAAGGAAAGAGATTACAATCTAGTAAGCTTGAAATATTCTTTGAACCTTTTTTAGTAGCTCTGACTGTGCACAATAAGAGCATTCTGAAGTGGGAGCAAGAAGGTATAATGGTGTCTTTGGCGCCATTCAACAGCTGGCTGGAATGAACCCTGCAATAAAGCTTTTAATTGCCCTTCAATTTTGTTTCATTGCCCTGAAATCAAACTTAGGCTTTAAGCAGATATAAAACATATGTCACTTAATGGCTGAGCAGCAGAATCTGGCTGTGGGGGAGATACTTGGATGGCCTTTAGATTGCTTTCATTTCTTCTTAAAAGGTTTCACTTTTTGGCTTTCTCTTCCCCAGGCTTAGGCTGTTTGATGGCAGGTATGGTATTTTCTGTCACCTGAGATGTTGCTCCATCAGAGAGCTGTGCAGCTAAAGTAGCGCATTGAGTATCTCCATTCTCAATACTTACAGCATGCATGGTCTCAAAGGGGGCAAGAAAGTTTTCAATGTTAAGTTGTTTCTTCTTCCTTTTGCTTGCTTTTCTTTCCTCAGTGGGAGTCTTGGTGAAATTACTTTTCTACAAACTTTCTTCCCCCAGTTAGAGTTGGTTCCTTAATTATCATGTCTATAGTGGCACAGCAAACCCAGGCACAAATGGAAGCTACATTTGGAGGATGTTAATCCAATACCATCTTCTACTAGCATTAAAAATAATAATGCATAGTCTTCAACAAAGGCACTCCAAATTTCTATATATTTCTTCATTTGCCAATTATACCTAAAGCCCACCTGTTCAAAAAGCCAAAAGTTTACTTCAATCCTCTAACCATTGTGTTATTGTAGGCAGCCATTTATCCTTCCAATATTAGTCCTTTAGCTCTCAGAAGGGTGTGGAAAATTCATTTATGTTTATCTTACATTAAATTCCAAGAGATGAGTAGGTAATTCGAAAGAATATGTGCACCCTTAAATATTGAAGAACTTTCTGTTGCAAGATTTAGCCAAATTATTGACTCCTTCTGAAAGGAAGCTGCCATTAGACATTGCCAAAGAAAGGAAGCATTAGAAGCATTACACCTCCAATAATTGGCCAATTTAATTCAGGCCTTATCAGAAATGGCATCCAGGAAACTTGAAATCCCATTTTTCGCTGAATTAAGATCCATGACCTCTTGTGAAACAGAAAATAATTAAGCACCCAATTGTTTGGGGAAGATGAGGTGCTTTGGTTCATTATTCAATTCTTGGTGAAGACCCTTTGTAACAGATATTTTTAGACATGAATTGTAGGCTAATGCAACTCTTCAGCTTCAATCAATACTTCCAATAACACAGGTAGCTCTGAAACTCTACAAGCAGTAGGACTAAACCTGGGTTGTAACCAATGCTTCAATTGCATATATTGTCATGTAGCCTTAGCTGGCAGTTTATATTTAGCATGCAAAGAAGAAAGTGGCAAAGAATTATCATTAGGACTGGCAAGCTCATCCAAAATAAAAATCAGCTTATAAGTTTAAGTCTATTGCAGTGTTTACTACACTGAACACCACATATTTAATTGAAAAGTGGAATATAAATCAAATTAATATTGTGAAGCATAACTAGCTTGTCAAACCACATGTTTTATCTGCCCATCTCAAATACAGTAAGTTTTCCAGGTTCTCTTACACTTTGCAAATGTGGATCGCTAACACTCAATGCTAATGGGAACATTATCTAATTTAAAAACATGTTTTTAACACCCCCTTTATTGAAAATTACTTAATAGAGTACTAGCTCTCCTTTTGGACTGTTTTCCATGTCTACTGAGCAACCTGAATGCATCCCAAATCCTAAGGCAGAGCTGAGGGGTAAATTAACAAATTCTTTTTTGCAAAAGCATATGCAGGGATTTAATGGTGGGATCAATCTTGCACATTTAAAGTGCACCATGATTGGCTGACCTGCATTATTTTGTAATGCAAGATCAAATTTGGTACTTTGCATGCTAATTGTACTATTTCACAAAGGCCATGTGGCTAATAAGGAGGTGGCAGTGGGTCAAAGAAGTTGACACTGTTTGGCAGATGATGATTTATTGGTGAAACAAAGAGAACAATTTTATATTTTATTGTAATGGCCACCCAGAGAGCATTAGGCTAATAGACAGCTTTTATACAAATTTAATAAATAAATAAATAAAACAAGGAGAAATGTGACCAAGTTCAAACTGCTGCTTTATACTTTTATTTCTACATCAATTCTTTTCATAAGTGATAGCACAATTTCATTAACATCCAGTGGAATAAAATGCTCATGCTTACTTTCTCTCCATGTATAACTATGGTGCCTTTCTCTTGCATTTGTGGAGCAGCTCCTTGCGGACCAGGAGGGCCCATAACACCTCGTTCACCCTGTAGATTTCACAAACAAGCATCCAAATAAACAAGCAAACCAACATTGCAATCATCTTCGCCTGAAAGGGGAATCTTGGCACCAGGCCAAGACCTTTTTATTTAAATGATATTTTAATAATTATTAATATTATTTATTGGTTTTAAAATCTTTTAGCCAGGATGAATCCAGATTTTATATGTTCTTGTCTGAATAACAGTTTATTTATGATGTTGGAAGCTGTCCCAAGGCTTATGCAAATGAGACGGCATACAAAAAAAACAAAAAAAATATCCAAATAAATAAATAAATAAATACATCTGAGGAAATATATGATTAATTTAAGGGTTTCATTCCATTAAATTGTTTTGTTTGTAACATAACATAAAGCAAATTGGAAAGTTTAAATTCATCAGGGACTTCCAGGGAATGGCAATTCATCCGGCAGCACCCTGCAGTGCTTTGTACCTTATCTCATTTAGACATTTATAAATCGTCTTTGAGAATTTATTTTATTTATTATTTATTTATTAAAACATTTTTATGCCGCCCCATTCGCCGAAGCCTTGAGGCGGCTTACAACAATAAGAATGTTTCTACCTCTCCAAATGATAGGTGAGCTTGAAGACTTCCAATCTATAACTCTAATTACAATGAGATGGCCAGAAATTTAAAAAAAAGATAAAGCACCTGGTCCAGATGGATTCACTGCTATGTATTACAAATGTTTAGAGAAAAAAATAATATTACCATTCCAACAAGTAATGAATGAGATTAAAGAAGAGAAACTATTGCCACCAACATGGCAGAAAACCCCTATAACATTGATATATAAAGAAGGCAATGATCGTACTTTGCCACATTCTTACCAACCTATTTCATTATTAAATGCATAAACATTTTACTTCAATAACGACAGGGAGATTAAGAAAATATATAGAAAAGCAGATTTATACAGATCAGACTGAATTTGTTCCAAAAAGATATATGAAAGATGTTTGTTTTGTGATTGATGCAACTGAATTGCTGAAGAAGAAGAAGAAGAAGAAGAAGAAGAAGAAGAAGAAGAAAGCAGCATTTATTTTTCTAGGTGTGAAAATGGCATTTGATAATGTGTCTTGGCCCTACTTATTGAAAACTCTTCAATATTTAGACTGTGGCTGAATCTATATGAATTGGATTCAAGCAATTTACACTAACATGTTAAAATTTTAATTAATTGAGTACTGACTGACAGCTTTTGAATGGACAAGGGAACACGCCAAGGATGCCCTTTATCACCTCTTTTATTTATTCTTGTACTGGAAATTTTTAGCAATAAAGATAACACAAGGCTCAAAAAAAGTCTTAAAAAGTAGATAATATATAAAATGAAATGTTATTCTGATGATACAGTCTTGGTCATCCTAAATCCACATCAATCTATTCTGTATATAATAGACCAAATTGAAAAATTTGTACTTTATTCAAGTTATAAGAGAAATAAGAAGAAAATTAAAATTATATTAAAGTTTGCAAAAAACAGGAAGAGGAAAGTATAAAAAAGTTTTCAGGATGTGAAACAACTTCAAATCTGGTCAAATACTTAGGGATAAATGTAATGGGACATAATGACACATTGATTCAAGATAATTACCAGGCAACGTGAATTAAGATTCAAAAGGATTCACAAAAATGGATCAAACTAAAAGTATCATGGCTGGGAAGAATTTTCATTATAAAACTGAGTGTACTATCCAAATTGAATTATCTGTTTCAGATGATAACAATTTCTATACTGGAAAACTCTTTAGGAACAGCAAAGAGAACTGAATGCTTTTATGTGGAATGGCAAAAAGCCAAGGATTAGATTTAAAATCCTTTAAGATGAAAAGAGGAGAGAAGGACTTGCAGTACCTATTATTACGTAGCTAACCTGCTTTGGATTTCAGATTGGATAATAAATGTTAATGATAGATTAGTGAAGTTAGAAATAGCAGCTCTTGAAGAAGGAATACACAATCACTTATGGGCCACAGAGTCATTTAAAAAGGCCTTGATATCAAATAACAATCATGTATTAAGAGTTGGCCAATAACATTTGGTATTCCATAAGAAAAAGAATCAGCCCTCCAATTTCTTCTTTTGAGGTCTCCAGTTGAAGCATATGGAAAATACTTAAGGAAAAATAATGACTTTATAACTGACCGGGATATGATTGTTCAACACGGATGACTTAAATCTTGGCAACAACTAAAAGATGAAGGGGAAAATATACAATGTCCTGTTTACTACCAATTGATTTCAAGACTGAACAGGAAAATGCAATCAAGGAAAGGCACCCTAAGAGACTTGATGGATTTTGAAAAGCAGATTATACAACAAAAGGATCATCTATTAAGAAGACTTTGTAAACAATTACTTCAACATGACACTGAAAATCAGTAAGATAAGAAATGTATGACAATTTGGATGCAGAATTTCAGAGAAGAAATATCATCCCGTCAATGGGAAGGTTTATGGAAGAAAGAGACATTAAATTCACAGCTAGTCAAGCACTACAAGAAAATTGGTATAAGATGTTTTTTCAGTGGTATATCACCCCAAAAGACAGAGAAAAAATAGGCAAGAGCTACAATGAAAAATGTGGGAAATATAATAAAGTAGATCTACTTGTGGACTTTTGATGTAATAAAAGATTTTGGAAGTGGATGCATGCAGAAATACAAAATCCTTTAAATCTAAGTTTCCTATGAGTCCTAAGAATATTGTTTTGAACATAATGCAAGATACTTTTTCAAAGAACATCTCAGAGTTATTCAAATAAATGACAACTGCAGCAAGAATTGCAATTGCTTCTAAATGAAAAACAATTACAGAATGACCAACAATTAAAGATTGGAAAAATAAGGTGGGTGAGTATGCAGTGATGACAAAATTGTAAGCAGAAGACTAAATGAAGAATTTAATGATAAATGGAAAATCTATTATATCAAGGGTTAATATATCAAGTATAATTAAGACTTAATTAATTTTATCAAGTATAATTAATATGATATAAAAGGAAACTCATTAAAATATTGATGTATCACTTGATAAATCAACACTTGAAGTATTGGGAAATTTGTTGATATACTGTTGGTATAGTATAATGCTTTTCTGAAAATCACTTTCTTTCTGAGCTTCAACAGAGTATTGAGTGACAGAAAGATAGAAAATTTTGGTGCCCTTGGAAATTTACAGGTTATGAATGTTTATGAATCTTGTTTAAGATCCCTTACCAATTTTTTCATTTTTTCTTATATTCATCTTTTTTCTGTACCTTAGAGATTTTAAGAAAGAAAATTAAAAACTTTTTCAAAAAAAGTTTAAATTCATCCATGTCATGACCTCATGGATAGACCTGTTCTCTACAGTTTACCACTAATCTTTACCAAAATAAACAAAAAGCTGTCATACGAACAGACACTAACTTACTGTAGTGACTATTTCCATAAATTACAAGAACACTTCTGGGGTTCTCTGGGTGGCTTGCTACATTCCCTGAACTCACAGCACAGTAGAGCTGACTCAAGACCAGATGAAAGGTTTCCAATAGCCAAGATGTTTGCAATAGCTTATACTCTTACCTTTCAAAAGAATAAACTTACCTTATCACCTTTTGGTCCTTGGAAACTCAGACCCATATGACCCTGATGTCACAAAAAAGAGATTTTTAAAACAGAAATATTATGACAGCATGTTTGAAGCATTCAAAAAAACAAACCCTAGCCCTTTCCATACCTTTTAAAATGACCTAAGAGTTATCCCAGATAAGACCAAATGCCTGTGTAGTCTGGCTTTCCATTTCCCACTGTGGTCACCAATTGCCTATGGAAAGGCCACAAGCAAGACAAAGGCCCCTCTTACTGCTTCCACCAGCCTCAGATCCTGGAGTTAGAAAATCTCTTGGGGCCTGTAGGACTACACTGCATGCACTTTAAAATTTCAGCAACTTGAACAAAAAAGAGCTAAACAAATATTCAGGTTGCCTGTTGAAATCACTGAGACAATGCTTAAGTGTGCTAGCTTGTGCTCAAAGTCAGCATCGTATACACCAATCGTAATTGAGATGTATTATTGATGAAGTAAGGTAATGGTAGAATTAATCAATATACATGCATTTTTACCATGAGACCCTTATTGAAACTATTTGTCATAAACTGCCCAGAGAACTTCAGCTACAGAGTGATATAGAAATGAAAATAAATATCCAATACTAGGATTTACAAATTTCAATAATATCTGTAATACTTTGTAATTGCAGTTTTGATTCTCATTATTTTACTTCAGTACTACATAGTACTCAAGAAGGAACAATAAGAAATCTATAGGTATTTTTTACCTCTAAAAACAAGGCCAAGTTACAGAGCTGGCAGTGCTATGGATCTTGGGCCAAATTTCTTTTTATGCCCCTTATGGGATGAGGATTCCAGTGAAATTTTGTTCCTTCATGCCAGACATGTGTACCAACATAGCAACACAGACACACACTCCTCTTCCTCAAAGCAGGCTAGAATAAATAGTATTCTTACCTTCTCACCTGGGGGACCAGGTGGCCCTGGAGGACCCTGTTTAAAAAAAACCAAAAGTATTCATGCTATGTGTTATACTTGTTTCAGGTTTGCTTCAGACTTGCCATTTTTCTAACAAATAATTTAAACACAGGATTTTATTTCATACTACTTCTTATATTAGATTGACTCTAAACAGAACTAGCAGTGGCACTGAGCAAAACTATGAACTTTCATAGGACAGAAGTGCTGAATTAGTTCTGTGGGGTTGTAGAACTGGCTTGCCCTGAAATTCATGGAAATCCACTGATTAAATTTATTTTTAAGTCTGAGCCTACAGAAAAACTTCTCTCTGAAGAGAGGTTGAATTGTTACCCTGATGCCTATTCATATTCCCAAAGCTTTATTAGTATGTTAAGTTTGCTGGCTGCACTTATCATGTGTACACTAAGTTGACATTTACTGGTCTTCCAGAAGGTCCAGGTGGTCCAATAGGGCCATTGATGCCTGGTGATCCAGGTGATCCCTGTATATAAAAAAGAACCATTGAAACAGTTATGTATTACACAGGACAGTCTGTCTGTCTGTCTCTTTCTCTCTCTCTCATGCACACACATGCATCCACACATAGTGCTACTGCAACTTTTTGATGCATTCTAGAATGGTTCAGGGCCAAAATATATAGACCAGTTTTCTTAGTTTCAAAGCAGTTGTAAGGGTGAAATGGTTAAGCCTGTGACTTGTTTCATTTGCTGTTTCTTTGAATTTAACTAATACCCTTAAATTTAGCATCATCCATAGATGGATAAAAAAAGACAAATCCTTGAAATGTTGCTATGTTTGTTTGTTTTGTTCCTTAGCTAACAGAATCTTCAGGGGCAACTTCCATAAGAGAAATTACAGTGGGAAGAGTTAAAGAAAAGCACCACATCCTTATTTCAAATTGATCAGCTTGGAAAGCTTAAAATGTCATTAAATCTATCTAGTAGTATCCCATATCATGTCAGTTTGTCCTTTATTCATAGAATACATAGCAGAATTACACATGTTAGTTAAGAGTAATCTTCTTTGTCAACAGCTCCCATTTATTTTTATAGTGATATATAGACAGACTGGGATGCAGGTGGCGCAGTGGTTTAAACTGCTGTGCTGCTGGGCTGGTTGATCGAAAGGTCGCTGGTTCAAATCTGCACAACGGCGTGAGTTCCCGTTGCTCCATCCCAGCTCCTGCCAACCTTGCAGTTTGAAAGCATGCAAATGCAAGTAGATAAAAAGGTACCACTTCGGTGGGAAGGTAACAGCATTCCGTGCACCTTGGTGTTTAGTCATGCCGACCACATTACCACGGAGACTGTCTGCGGACAAACGCTGGCTCCCTTGGCTAGAAAACGGGGATGAGCACCACCCCCTAGACTTCACATCAAGGGGAAACCTTTACCTTTATAGAGAGACTGCAATGGAATCTGCAGACAATAAACTTTGGGAAGGAAGTGTCCATGCCACTTTTTATTCAGTGTGAACAGAAATGTATTGCAACCTCATCTCAGAGTTCTTGAGACACATATGTTTTCCTTTTGGCGCTCACTCTTCTACACCGTCATGATGATGGTGAATTTTGATGCACTGATAATAGAGCTTACCGGTAATCCAGGTTCGCCAGGAACTCCTTTTTCACCTTTTAGTATACCATTTGGTATGAGTCCAATAACTTCTCCTGGGTCTCCCTATATTACACAATTTAGAAAAAAGACAATGTAGAAATTTATGAGCACTGTCAGTGCTTGTGGTAGGGCTCTGGCTGGCTGTATCTCCATGCTACTTCCAGGGTCTGTCTTGACTTGCCAGCATGCCTGCCCTTCTTTAGCTAACCACCTCTTCCACCTTCTCCTGCTGTATCCCAGGATCTTGAGCCACCTGCTCCTCAATCTCATCAAAATATTCATCTTTGGAATCTGAATTGGAAAAAGTGGCATGGCTAGCATCCCACAGGAATGCTTGTCAAAGGCCACCATCACAACAATTCCCAGGTTGGAAGGCACTCAACCAGCTACTGCAGAAGAGAAAAGGACATATACAAATAGTACTGTTGCTAATGCCAACTAGATCATAAATGAAAAGAAGTCTGGCGGTTGGCATGCACAGAGGTGAAAGGAAAATCATGTTGTACAACATACAACACTGGAATATGGAACAAGAGAAGTATGAATCAAGGCAAACAGGAAACCATAAAACAGAAATGGAACAATTAAGCAAACTGGTGTGAATGAAATAAAGTGGACTAGAATGGGTAACAAATCAACAAACATAAAGGTGTTTTACTCAGATGAAATGAATCTAATACTAAGGCAAGATGCAACACAAACAGTAAAAAGCTATAATAAAAAGTCTAACCAAATAACATCAATCAGAATTCTTAAAGAACTTATCAACATAACCATCTTTCAAAAATACACTCCAACAACAGTGGCTGAAGAAAAAAAAGTAAAATACTTTAATCCAAATGTCCAAGAGGAAATTGATTAACACACTGAAACAAGAAATGCTGATAGTTATAGGTGATTGGAATACAAAAGTAAGGGAATTGGGAATCTGGCCTAAGGGTCAGAAACAAATCAATGAACAACTCAAAGAATTCAATGAAGTCAAAATTTTGTTTATTGAAAGTAAACAGGCAACTAAATGGACTACTATACACATGGATATCACCAAGTGGCCAATATGGACTGGGGAGGGGGGACCCTATGTAATGGGAAGTGGACATTGGAGAATGTGTATTCTCACTGCCAAAATAAGACCAGGAGCATAATGTGGTAGTGACCCCCTTAATATTAAAATAAAGGTGAAAAAGGTCTTAAATAGAAAAAGCTCAGTGCTAAAATACAACTTAAATTACATTCCTGAAGAATTTGAAGTCCATACAAAGAACGGATCTGCATTATTGAATTCAACTGACCATGCACCAGAAGAACTGTGAACTTAAACCAGAAACTTTATTGGGGACGAATGCAAAAAGATAATTCCTGTAGCAAAAAGTGCGTGAATCTGTAAGGGAATGGGGGACCTAGACGGATAAAAGAAGAAACACTGAAAATTGCTAAGGACAGGCAAGAACCACAACAAAAGTTGACAGAAATAGGGACAGAATCCTGAATGCAGGTTTGATAAAAGTAACAGACCATGCTTTGGTAAATATAGATTTTAGAATTGAATGTGATTATAAAGAAAGTAAAAGATGGAGGATGGATACAAATATATTACAATAGAGAGATGTAGGAGATAAAATGGAGAAAGAGTTAAAGGAAATTTGGGAAATTAATGATAGAGAGGGGAATGATGAAGGTATAGTATGAGATACAATGAAGACAGTTGCAAGAGGGATAAGTATTAAAGAGGCATCTGTATTTTAAAAAAAGCAAATAGGTGAAAAAATTGGAAAGGGAAATAAAAACTAGAGAAGAATTATATACAAAAGAGAGATTTAAAAATCCTAATAGAAATACAAGCTAAAATAAAGGAATTAGAAAATGTAGAAGGCAAAAAAACCAAAGAAATTTAATGTACGTGAAGAGGGCTTATTTTGAATTTAGTAGTAAGAATTCAAGGGTTTGACCAATTCTGCACAACAAAAAATTAAATAATCAATTGGAATAGTTAGGGATGAAGATGGGAAAAAGGGTAATTTAACAAGATATAAATTAGGACTATTTTATTCAAGGTTATACACAGGTGGAGAATTATTTGACAAATGATAATCTGTCAAAATATCTGTTATATAGAGGAAAATGTAGGGGAGAAACTACAACAGATGAATATAGACATAATGGAACAAACAATTAAAGAAGAAATAGAGGAAAGTATTAATAAGTTGAAAATAAGGAAATCTCTTGGGATAGATGGATTAGGACCAGAATAATATAAAACTTTTTAAAAGTTTTTGATACCAAAATTAAAAGTTTTGTTAAATAAAATATTAGGAGGAAATATACCAGCATCTTGGAAATATGCTATAATAGTTTTGATTCCTAAGCCTGATAATAATTTGACTGATCTAGGGTCTTATAGACTTATATCATTGATAAATCAAGACACAATTTTTTTATAGCAGTATTGGTAAATAGAATGAATAAATTTAATGATAAATGTGATCAAAGGGACTGTATAGTAAGGAGACAGCAGATTTGACCAAAAGAGTTTTAAATATAGTAGAGGTAATAGGTAAAGGAAAATCCAAAGCTGGTATAATATCTTCAGATATTTTTAAAGCTTTTGATTTAAAAATCAATCAAATTTTTAAATGGCCACTAAAAAAGATAAATATGAAATAAGTAAGGAAGTTTGGGAAAATATTGGATGAAAAGGATATTAAAATGTATGACAGTAAGAATAAGGGATTTTTAAAAAATAAAATTGTATGGAAGTGGTACCTAACTCCAGTGAAGGTGAACTGTATTGATAGAAAATATTCCAATTCATGTTGGAGATGTGGTCATGAAATGGGTATATATTTCCATAAGCAGTGGGAATGTGAATATATTATGAAACTTTGGAAAGAGGTTTTTTAAAGAATATAGTAAAATATTAAGTGTAAATAAAGAAAAATGCCCTTAAGATTACATTATTTCCAACATTTGATAAGAAATAATGAAGCTGGAATAAAGATTTAATAAATATAATAACTGCAGTAAGTTAATTAAAGGTAAGAACTGGAAAGCAAAATGTGATTACCAATTGTGTGACTGGTACAAAGAATGTGGAATATAATTAATGTCCTGAAAAGAGTTTGAATGGGTTTCTTTTATCTGTAACATGTAACTTTAGCCCTGGTAGTGGGGGCACTGTATTGTCAAGAATTATTTTAATGTTATGTTTAATTTTATATGTTTACATTTTAAATGAAGTGTTATTTTGGTTGTATTTTAGATTGAAAATTGTTTTTTTTCTAAAGAATCTGGAATGCAACTTTTCAGCAGCTATCATGAGGGGACAAAATGAACTGTTACAATGGCCAGTGTAAAGAAACAGTACCAAAAGAGGATAAGGTACAACAAGATGCAGTGACTGAATTAGTCCACATCCTAACAAAAATATGCTAACAAATATGGATAATAAGACAACAGTACAGAGAATGGAAATGTTCGATATATATTTCAGCCCCCAAAGAGGAGATGCCAAGGAGTGCAGCAATTCATTTCCCACAGAAGCAAAGTGATGCTCAAGATGTTGCAATGAAGAATTTTACCCTCTAAAATTACCATTTTAGAATGAAAAATGCCTGATGGGGAATCAAATGGTCAGCAGAGAAGAGGGCTCAGATAACTGACCGCTGTTCTCTCTTCTGGTTCTTCCCCCACCTGGATGAATCAAGCTACCCTCAGACATGGTGCTGCTACTGTTAAATGCCAGGTCAGCTCAGAATAAAATCATCCACAGTGTGATTGGGATGAGGGGGCTGATCTGGCTTGTATTACAGAGACCTGGGCTGGATGTTATTCTCTCTTAGCTGTGCCCACCCAGGTACTCAGTGTAGCAGCATCAGCACCTTGGGGGCTCCTCTCTCTGGTCTTCCTGTTCACTCTGTAAGGAATGAAATCCAAGCAGTAACGATACGAGAGGCAAGTACCAAGCAGCAACAGTTTAATACGTTCTGGCCAGACCGGGCACTCACCCCAAATGTAGTGCATTGGAGGAGCAGTTTACGCAGCCTTTTATTCCCTACTTCTTGCACAAAGTCCCTGCCTCCTTTCTCCCATTGGCTGGGATACTAAGAGTTCACACTCTTCTCCACCCGCCTTCATCATACTACTCCTTGGTATGTTACCCCCTCCTGCTCATATGTCCCATGTTCATGTAATAACCCTCTGAGTCATACTAGGAGGTACCATTAATATGCATTAGCTAATTACACAGCCATACTTTGGATTCTAAGTTCAGAAGTTTAATGCCATGTCTACTGATTACATCTTGTAGTCTATTAGTTTGTGTTAATCACAGTAACTTTATTAATCACTAAGTGATCCATAGCTTTACCTGTTCTAGTCCGTTAGTCACAATAACTTCATTAATCACTAAGTGATCCATAGCCTTAACTGTTCTAGTTCGTTAGTCACAGTAATTTTCTACTTCTCACAGCTCAAGGGCAGGTCTTGAGTGTTTGTATCTGATGCTGGGCAACAGAAACAGAATAGGGATTCTGCTAGTGTACCGCCCACCCTGCTGCACGTCTGACTCCCTGCCTGAGCTGTTTGAGGTGTTTAGGGGTGTTGAAGACCCCTGGAATGGCAGTTCTGGGGGTCTCAATTTCCATGCTGAGGCTGTTTTGTCCAAGGCAGCTCAGGACTTCATGGCTGCCATGACAACCTTGGGGCTGTCTCAGTATGTCATTGGCCCAACACATGAAAAAGGTCACACTCTTGACCTGGTCTTTTCAACTGGACAGAAGGATGCTGGTCTGGGAGGGTTAACATTAACCCCTTTGTTATGGTCAGCTTGCTTCCTTTTCAGAATTAAATTTTATCCTCTCTTTCCCTCCACATGAGTAGGGGACCTATTAGACTGGTCTGCCCCCAGAGTGTAATGGAGTTTGCACAGCACTTTGAGGATAAAGTCACTCAGATTCATCGTGAATTTGACTCCATATTTAATGTAGGTCCTTTAACAGAGGCATCCAGAACACTGTCTGGTCCTATTTTATTGGATAAGTTTCAATTATTGAGGCCTGAGGATGTGGACAAAGTGCTTGGACAAGGTCAGCCTGCCACCTGCATACTCATCCTTTGTCCTTCAATGGTTTATCATCCAGGCCAAACAAGGAATGCATACCTGGGTCCAAGAGATTCTAAACACTTCTTTGAAAAAGGAGCTGGTTCCAGCTCTGTTAATGGAGGCAGTAGTCAAACCTCTCCTGAAGAAGGCAAGTCAAAGAATATTAACAACTACAGGTCAATGGCCAGCATTTCCTTTTTGGGGAAAGTGCTTGAGCAGCAGGCACTTTTGAATAAAATTGACCACCTGGGTCCACTTCAGTCTGGCTTCAGATCTGGTTTCGGAATGGAAACTGCCTTGGTCACCCTGTGAGATGAGCTTTTCTGGGTGAAAGACATGGGGAGTACATCTCTTGGTTCTCCTGGACCTCTCAGCAGATTTTGATACCATCAACCATGGTATCCTTCTGGATAGGCTGGCTGGCCTGGGGGTGGAGGCACTGCTCTGCAATGTACTGCTCTGAAATAGTTCTGCTCCTTACCTGACTGACCAGTTCTAGAAGGTGGCGCTGGGGGATTATGTTTCTGCGCCATGGCAATTGTGCCATGGGGTTTCACAGGGTTCCATATCATCCCCCATGTTATTTAACATTTACATGAAACCACTGGATGAAGTCATCCAGAGGTTTGGGCTAAGGTGTCCCCAATATGCTGATGACACTCAGTTCTACTTCTCCTTTTCATCTAATGCAAGTGAGGTGGTGACAGTTTTTAACCAGTGTTTGGGTGGGGTGATGGACAGGATGAAGGCCAATTAATTCAGATAAGGCAGACATGCTGTTGATAGGTGGGTTTATTTATTTATAGCTTTTATATCCCACCCTTCACAATAAAGGGATAGTATAGAGAAACTGCATATCAAAGACCCATTTCAATACAAACTCAGTTTCCAGGAACACTTTTTATCAACTTCGGCTTATTTAGAGTTAGGTTTGCATAGTTTATTGAGTTGGGTTTTTTCTTTTAACTTTTCTTGTAAATCATTCAGAGAAACATTTGGCTAATGCAGAGGGTATACAGTAGTCCCCTGAAATTCACGGGGGTTGCATTCCTAGAGCACCCATGAATTGTGAAAAACTGTGGATTTTGAATGTGGTAAAGATTCATTGCCAGAAGCCTTAGGACAGGGGTCCTCAAACTTTTTGAACAGGGGCCAGTTGAAAGGTGCTGGCGATGGGCGCGGGCTGCCAAGGTGGTGCAGGCGGGGGGGAGGGCCAGGCCGGGCGCATACACATGGCAAGGCGGGGCGGGACGGACGCATGCACAGATCGTTGCAAGGAGATCGGTTTGGACTCGCTCAGAGAAAACAAGCTCCAGGCGCCGGCTTGCTCGCAAGGAGATCAGTTTGGTTTCGCTTGGAGAAAACGATTTCCTTGTGAACAAATGCCACACAGCGAGGAAACTGCCATGAAAGACTGAGGCCGCAAATGCTGAACTATGACTTCACGGGGGTATACTGTATAAAAATTTGAATGAATGAATGAATGAGATTATCAGTCTATGCTGCATAGACTGCAGCAAAAAATACAATCTATACTGCGTAGATCACAGCCTTAGACTGTGTGGTGATAATAGGAAACTAGGATGGTCTAGAAGGAAAGTAATATGCTCCAGCATTTGAATATCCTTATGTGCAGTCTGTATTGTGGACAAGAAGCTAGTATTAGAACACAATATGGAGAAACAATGGCTTCCTATAAGGAAAGGAATCACAAAGGGGTTGATTCTCTATCTTTTCAAATTGTATACGGAACATATCAAAGGAAATCTGGATTAGGATCAGGGTAAGAAGGAGTGATAATTGGTGGAAGATACATCAATAATTATTTAAGATATGCTGATAGTACTATACTACTGGCAGGAAGCAACAATGATTGAAAGGGCAGGGGATGAAAGTTAAAGGAGGAAGTGTAAAAGCAAAGACTGCAGCTAAACACTAACAAAAATCATGACTTCAGAAGAATTACAGAACTTCAATATTAATACTGAAGAAATTGACATTATGATAGATTTTGCCTACCTTGACTCAGTCATCAATTCAAAGGAAGGGTACAGCCAAGAAATTAAGGACAGACAATTGGAAGGGCAGCGATGAAGGAAAGGAGACCAAGGCCAAGATTATCCACACTATGTATGGGTGCAAAAGCTAGACAGTGAAGAAAGCTGACAGGGGAAAAAATTGGTGCATCTGAAACACAGTGCTGGAGGAGAGCTTTGAGAAGACCCTGGATAGACAGAAAGATAGACAAGAGGGTCCTAGTTCAAATCAAACCAGAACTTGCTCTGAGAGCACAAATGACAAAACCGAGGCTGTCATACTCTGTGTGCATCATGAGAAGGCAAGACTCACTGAAGAAGACAATAATGCTAGGACAAGTGAAAGGCAGAAGAAGGGGAAGACATTTGCAAGACAGATTGATTCCATAAAGGAGGCCAGAATTTGAGTTCACAAGGGCTAAGCAGGGCTGTCAAGGGCAGGACAGTTTGGAGGATATTCATTCATAGGGACTGTATAAGATAGAGACGATTTCACAGCACATAATTATTATATAACAACTGTAATGATATTGTATATTTGGTTAAATATCAATGTCAAGGTCTATGTGTTTACACATGAAAATCTGAGTGTAAAGAATGTGTTCCATATTCAAGTACTACAGCTATAGTTCTGACAAGCCACTCACTTGGAGATTATTTTTCTAATACTCAATACAGCTATAATATTGACAATTTTCACTGATTATAGTAACATAGTACACAAATGATATAAACAATAATAACATGTCTGTTTTAAAATTTTTAATGTACCTTTATTCCGATAGGTCCTGGAGGACCCTAGAAGAGAAATATTATATTTTTTTGAAAAAAGCTTCATCTAACAAGGCATTTAAGCATCATTTTTAGAAAGCATATATTTAAAATCCCAGTAAAATACTGCATGCTCAATCTAAATATTTGCTGAAGCTTTTAACCTATTTTTCATCTAATAAAAACTGCATTTTTCTGATTTTGGTTTAAATATAATAAATGGCTTACTGGATTTCCAGGTAATCCGGGTAAACCTGGGGGACCAACAGGACCTCTTTCACCCTAATGGAACAGAGAAAGTGACTTTACTTCTTAAATATTGCAATGCATTTGAAAAATATTTCAAATGTATCTTTAAAGCATTTCACCTTTGTTCCATTGCATCCTGGAATACCAGGAGGACCTGGGGGGCCATCTCCTCCAGGAATGCCCTGTGATTACAAAGGAAGGTAGGAAGAAACAAAAGAAACAATTATCATATTAATACCTGGAGGACATTATTTATATATTTATTTATTCCTTCGTGACACTAGAATGCCACCCCATAACCTGAGAGTTGCCTGGGCGGCTCACAAAAACAATGACACACCAAATAAAATCAGCAATTTTAAAAAGTAATAATCCAACATCATAAAAACAATTAACATGAAAACAGAAGGCAATGCACATGATAAATAAAAGTAAGCAGTAAGAAAAACCATAATTATATTATACACGAGCTGGATACCACTATTGATTCAGAGGTTTCAAAGGAGACACCAACGCTGCCGTCTGGTCCAGATTTATTGGATGAATTTCAGTTACTGCGGCCCGATGATGTGGACAAGGTGCTTGGACGAGTACGTCCAACCACTTGCCTTTTGGACCCTTGCCCGTCTTGGTTAATAAATGATTCCAAGCATGGGATTGGAACCTGGATCTTGGAAGTGGTTAATGCTTCTCTGAGGGAGGGTCGGGTGCCTGCCCCTTTAAAGGAGGTGGTAGTCCGACCGGTCCTGAAGAAGGCATCACTGGATCCAGAGATGGCCACTAATTATAGACCAGTGGCCAACATCCCGTTTCTGGGCAAGGTGTTAGAGCGGGTGGTGGCGGGACAACTCCAAGCACTCTTGGATGAAACTGATTATCTGGACCCATTGCAGTCCGGCTTCAGACCCGGGTACGGTACTGAATCTGCCTTGGTCGCCCTGTATGATGACCTGTGCAGGGAGAAGGACAGGGGGAATGCGTCCCTGTTGGTTCTCCTGGACCTCTCAGCGGCTTTCGATACCATCGACCATGGTATCCTTCTGGATAGGCTAGCGGGATTGGGGGTCGGAGGCACTGCTTTGCAGTGGTTCCGCTCCTATCTCAACGGCCGATTCCAGAAGGTGGTGCTAGGGGACTATGGCTCTGCGCCATGGCAGCTATGCCATGGAGTACCGCAGGGGTCTATTTTGTCCCCTTTGCTGTTCAACATCTACATGAAACTGCTGGGAGAGGTCATCAGTACCCACCAGGTGTGGGCTGCGGAACCATCAGTACGCTGATGATACCCAGCTCTACCTCTCGTCTTCCACCAATCCAGGTGAGGCAGTGGCTGTACTGAACCGGTGCCTGGCCGAGGTAATGGGCTGGATGAGGGCCAATAAACTGAAGCTCAGTCCAGACAAGATGGAGGTCCTGTTGGTTGGCGGATCGGGCTTCGGAGAGGGTGAATTGAACCTTGTCCTGAACGGGGTTGCACTCCCTCTTAGGGACAAGGTCCGCAGCTTGGGAGTGCTCCTCGACCCTGAGCTTTCACTGGAAGCTCAAGTAACAGCAGCGGTGAGGAGCGCTTTCCTCCAGCTTCGGCTGGTTTATCAGCTGCGCCCCTACCTGGAGTACGACTGCCTTACAACAGTGACACATACGCTGGTGACTTCCCGTCTTGACTTCTGTAACGCGCTCTACGTGGGGCTACCCTTGAAGACGGTCCGGATACTTCAATTGGTTCAAAATAGAGCTGCCAGGTTGCTGACGGGGATTGGACGTTATGCTCACATGACTCCAGTTCTCCGTCAGCTTCACTGGCTTCCCATTGAAGTCCGGGCCCAATTCAAGGTGTTGGTGATGACCTATAAAGCCCCAAACGGCTTGGGTCCTGGTTACCTGAAGGAGCGCTTACATCCATATATGCCCAGCCGCCCCCTGAGATCGGCGGGAGAGGCCCTTCTCCGGGAGCCCTCCGTGAAAGAAATTAGGAGGGTGGCTACTCGGACGAGGGCTTTCTCAGCGGTGGCGCCTAAGTTATGGAATGCGCTCCCCAGAGAGGTCCGCCTGGCGCCATCGTTATTTGTTTTTCGGCGCCAGGCGAAGACCTTTTTATTCAAGCAGCATTTTAAATGTTAATATTATTGAATTTTTCTGGCCAGGGCAGCCTATTTTATATTGTATATTTGTAATTTATTTTAATGTATATATTTTAAAATGTTATTTAACTTATTTGTTGTAAGCCGCCCCGAGGCTTCGGCGAATGGGGCGGCATAAAAATGTTTTAATAAATAGATACATACATACATTACTGCTGAAATCTTGGGTGGTGATTAAATTGTAATTGTTATGTCATACATACGGGTAGGCCAGGATTGCCTGGATAGCCTGCTGGACCTGGAGGGCCCTGAAATTAAGAAAATTACAAAGACAGTAAATCAGTACAAGACAACATTTAATATTTTCAGTATAAATTCAGGGCTATGTCTGGTTAGTGTTAATATCAGAAGGACTTTTCAAAATTCATGAGAGGTGCTTTTTTTTAGGACTTTGAGTAAGAAGCATAAATAAGAAAAACATACTATTGACAGCCCAACTCTGAATAACTTCATAGAGTTATAGCCCATGTTTTCCTCATGCTACTATCACCAATTTTTCAAAGAATTGGAGTTTAACCCCATCTTCTCAATAAAAGCTTTGGTGGTATGCAAAATGCTGAGACGCAACACATTACTGAGATGTTTAGTGAAAGACATACCATGAAGAATACTGTGGCTTGGATTCTAAATTGCCATAAACTGATCTTTACTCATGAAATCCTCCTTTGGCATAAAGTGAGGAAAGGGCAGTATTTCACTGATTCTCCTTTCCTTCTGGAGCTCTTTTTCAGTCATGAAAATTTGCTCCATGTTGAAGAGACCAGACATACACAAAGATTCCTTTTGTGTTCAGAAGGGAAACGCAGTAGCTAAGCCTATGGCTCCAAGCTATAGTCAAGCCTTCAAAACATTCTATTTTATGCTACTGTAAAGCCCCACTCTTGTTTAATCATTTGGACTGTATTTTAGTGAACTGTTAAATCATAAATAACTTATAATATATAATCACAAATAACTCTCCAAAATAGGCCAAAATAAATTTAAGCAAACTCACTCTTGTTCCTTTTGTTCCTGGTAGTCCTGGTTCTCCAGTATCACCCTATTAAGAAGATAGGGAAATGATGCATTAATTCACATTAGCATGTTTTGAAATTAGAGTTACTCAGGTTAACTGTTTCAATAAAGGATTAATCTTACCTTCAGTCCTGAATAACCTGGTGGACCTTCTGGTCCTTGTACTCCAGGAAACCCAACCAAACCTTGTAAACCTGGCAAACCTCGCTCTCCCTGTGAAAATCAAGAGCACATTCAATTTAGCAAAATGCAGCCAAACAAAATCCCACTAATGGAGATTTCCACCTTGATGCAAACAGCTACTGGCAAAGGGGAAAGCATTTTTATTGAGATAATAGCAAGTCCTATACTCCCTGCTTGTAGTTGTGGGTCTGATTCCCCCTATCCAATCATATTTGTGTTTTTAAAAAGATTAATGCAGCTCACATTTAGCCCTCAGTCCCATATGCTTAGGATCTCTTTAATACAATTCTTATCTCTATCTGTTTCCTTCCTGAAATCTCCTTAAAACAGCCGCCACTGAAGCCAATGGAGACTGTTTCTGCCTTTTTAAAATCCCTGTGTGCAGGGGTGGGGGGGGGTGGGGTTTGGGGATGAAAATTACTCACTTTTAATACCCCTGTGCATGTTAGACCTGATCCACACACATATATTCTCAAGTAAGAAATCAAAAGAGGGATCATCTACATAGTTAACACATTGTATAGCTTGACCTCATATACGCCTACATTAAATTATTCTTAGGTGTTTGCTGCTATAAAGTAAAACATAGAATCGGTAGCCCTGGAAGGGGCCACTGGGTGCAACCCCCTGCTCAGTGCATGATTCCAAGTTAAAACATCCCTCTCAGATGGCTATCCAGTTGCACCTTGAATGCCTCCAGTTTGGGAGATTCAAAAAATGAACATAAGATGCTTTTTAAAAGGTTGATCGCACTGCACATTTTTGCAATTGTGCAGAGTAGTTCTACAAAACCTGTACACCACAAATAGCAATAAATGGTAGCTACCCCAAACAATTAGCTTTCAATCTGTGTGTGTGTGGGGGTATCCTCTATCACCCTGTTTTACCATCTATATAGAGACAATGGCTCTATAGAGACGTGACATATAAGTAACCCTCTGTGATTATTATAGTCCACAGTTGTGTCTGCCAGATGATCAAGCTCATGGTAAGCCATTTCCCTCCTGCCATCTTCTTTCCTCTTAGTCCTCTATGCAGTATCCCAGGAGGCAATGCAAGGAAGAATGAGGCCCTTCTCTTTGGCAGCCATGATTGTGAGTTGAGTTTGGCTCACTACAGCTGTGAAGCAGTGTCTACCTCATAAACAGGGCCCATGTCCTAAAGTGCAGCAGAGAAAATGTGAGAGCTTATCAGGTACCCTCACCTCCAGCTATAGTGTGTGTGACTGTAGTGTGTGTTGCTGGGGCACTCAGGCAAAGAAGAGGAAATCAAGTTCCTGTACCCTGAAAATCTGTGTGGGAAAACAGCATGGAGACGAGGTGTGGATTACAAATCATAGCCACAGTAGCAGGAAAACAACTCCTTCTGGATTAGTGTGTAGAGGAAGAAAAGCAGCTAGAAGAAGAGTGAAGCAGGGAAAAAGTGTGGCTACTGGTAACTGTCAGGACGTCCCAGATTAGCAGCCATGCGAATATACACTCAGATATGCAGGGAGAAGTGCATACGTCATAAAGCTCAGCAGTTTTACTGGTGAGAACACCCAGGAAACCCCTCTGTAGAGACAAGCCTCATAAGCAGTGCTGTCTGGTAGAGGCACACCTGCCAGCTACAAGATTCCAGAACATATACAGAGTATTTTGTAGGTTTTGAGTTACAGGAACAGGGCAGATGATGATGAAATATGGAAACAAAGTCAAAAAGAACATGAGAGATGTGCAGTGGGGACTTAATATAATATTATCAGTGATTACAGGATATTGGCATGACAATCAGGAAGGCACAGGTCTTAGGTGTGGGTTTTGACATGCAAATGAGAGTGACTGCAATGCTACTAGAAAGACTAATATGGCAGCTTTTATCAGTTTTGCTGCTGTTAGCAAAAGAATAGAAGGGATCGACTTTCCTGCGGAATTCTGGCATGGCGTCGGGATGGGACAGCTGTGATTAATGGGGCTCCATTATCACGCTGGTAATTGTTCGGTAGGGGGCCGTGGGAGGCTCATCTAAGCCCTGTCGGGGCGAAGATAGAGTGCCTGGGGAATCTTCTGGATGGTGTGGGGCGGCAACCCCACATCTACTGTGAGAAAATACTCCTCTCGAAAATACTTGAGAGGTCGTTGAGGCCCCATCGGTGTGGGTGTTCAAGGATAGGCTGGATGTCCATATGGTGGGCATGTCGTGAGCGGAGCCGGCTGGTGCCGGAGGTCAGACTAGATGGCCCGGGAGACCCCTTCTGACTCGCTATGTTTTCTATGTTTCTAAAATCAGGTATTTCTCAACCGGACAGTACAGGGGGGAATTTAGCCCCCACAAGTCCTTGACATCCGGCTAATAGTTTAGGAATTTAGCTAGAAATTCGTCGGATTTACTGGGAAAGACATTTTTATCTCTCTTTTTTTGCAATACTACCCATGGAAAAGCTGTATTTGTTGCTAATTGGCATAAAGAAAAAAGAAAAAGCCCTTTGGATGGAGGGAGGAATCCCCTCCCCCAACAGACTTTCAAGCGGTGACTGAAAATGAGGTGAGAGAGATGGAGGTCTTTATGTAAGAAAAGGGTCTTTTTTTCTCTAATCTCTCCAAGGGCGAAGAATCAAAATAAATAATTACTGTGGAATTAAATGATAGAAGGATCTTTCTTGTATGTTGGATTTTTGCCAAGAACTACTAGAAGGATATAATTTGCCTGTAGAAGTGGCCATTTTTCTTTCTGTTTCTGGGACTTTTGCCAAAGCATCTGGACATTTGCCAAGCCTTTGTTTCTAAGTGACTTAGACTAAAAAGAAAGCTGAAAATTCCCTTTTGCTGCCACTCTGGATTTGGATTTCTAGTAAATATACTTATTTCTATATCTTTTTCCTTTATCTTCTTTTTTATTTTGTTGCTGTTTTGTAACTTTTGGCAAAAATTGTTATTACTATAGAAGAATTACAGAAGACACTTTCGGCAATACAGACTTCTTTAACAGCTTTGCGATCATCCCAACAGGCGATACTGATACAGCAGGAGATCATATTAATTGAATAAAAAGAACGTTTTGAAAAATTAGACAATTCCATTAATGAGGCTTTGGGCATATAAATCAAACTTGAACAGAATATACAAAATACGCAACAACAGATGGAAAATCTGAAATAGTGAATAAAGAAATACAACCAGGAAAAACAATAAGCAAGCTATCGTGGGACTTGCTTGTAAAAAAGCAACAAGCAGATGGAAAATTTGAAACAGTGGATAAAGCAATGCAATTAGTAAAGCCAATAAGTAAGTTTTCATGGGATCTGCTCATCATGTTGGAGAAGGAGAAGACAGCTAAGTATTTAAGAGAGACTATGTTTATGTGGCTATCAATAGAAGGAGCTTTGTCTATTGGGCTATATGCACTACAATTGAAGACGTATACTGATTTATTACAGGCACTACAACGATTTAAAATAAAGGAAGAAGAAAGATTAGGCAGGGGTGTAAAGAAAAAATAAGAGAATTTTATTTTAAAAAGGAATGATTTAAATAGGTTGGCATGTTTATATGTGATATGGAAAGGCTAAGCTACTATTGCTGGTGACAAAAGGAGTGGATATAAGCGAGGTATGTTAAAGATTGTAAAGACTTGGGCTCTTATAAGGAGTTAATTGTATTTGACTAAATGATGTTTAAGTTAGATGAAACATTAGTAACTTAGCTAAAAGAGAGCTTGTTTAAAAGATATTATAGGTAATCGTTGTCACCAAACAGATTAGTTAAGATGTCTTTAAAGATGTAAAATGGATGTTGGATATGTGAACATAACTTGGGTATTTTTTATGAAATAGAGTAAAAATAAGAGAACTTATTCTCTTAAAAAGGAATGACTTAAATGGGTTGGCAGGTTTATATGTGATATGGAAAGGCTAACCTACTGTTGTTGGTGACATAATGGGTGGATATAAGTGAGATATGTTAAAGATTGTAAAGAGTTGGGCTCTTATAAGGAGTTAACTGTATTTGATTAAATGATGTTTAAGCTAGATGAAACATTAGTAACTTAGCTTAAAGAAAGCTTGTTTAAAAGATATTATAGGTATTAGTTGCCACCAAACAGATCAGCTAAGATGTCTTTAAAGATGTTAAATGGATGTTTCTGATTTTATTTGTAAATGTAGTAGTGAGGAACTTATTTTTCTAATACTAGAAAAATGAAAAGATTTTGAATTGTGTAGAAATGTTTAGATTGAATTTATCATTGAAGAAGAAAGAAGATATTGACCTTTATCCAACTTGGAGATTCTTTCCTTTAATATTGGTTAAGAGAAACAGGACTTTGCAAGAAATGGATGGATTGATCTTACTGATGAAGGAGAAAGAAGATAGTGACTTCTATCAAATTTGGAACTTCTTTTTTTATTGGCTGGAGAAACGGGACTTGGTTTAGATCTAAAGATGTTTTCAAGTTATTATAAATGGATTTGAATATGATCATAGAATGTTAAAAGATATATAGTAGGGGGCTGACCCAGTAAGTCCGATGTATGTGATGATTGATGTTTTTAGTATTAGTTTAAAATTTTAATAAAATTTCTTAAAAAAGAAAAAAGAAAGGATCAACTTTCCTTGGGATCTACATTCTGCCAAGGCTTTTGCAACTAAATGTAGCAGTCAGCTGAGGCTGAGCATAGAGCTCCAGTCCCTCAAAGGAGCAGTGAGCTAACAACAGGGAACAAAGGAAATCTGTCTTGGAATTCTGGTTCTTTCTGGGCAAAAGGAGTAGGGATACCGTAGGTTTGATTTTATATCACAAGGGCACCTATAAGCAACCTATCTATCTATCTGGATTTTCCCAACATTACTCACAAGCAAAGACAGCAGGTGTGGGCACCTATAAGCAACCTTTCTGTTTGTTTATTTGGATTTTCCCAACATTTCTCATCAGCAAAGACAGCAGGTGTGGGTTGCCACAGCAAAATCAATTGCAAGGGAGACTTGGGGAAGAATGGCAGGCTCAGTACAATGTGTTGCTGGAGAATGTCTACAAATCAACTTTACCTCTGAGAA